CTGTGTCTTTTATGTACAAAAAAACCAGAACAACAGAACCCACATCCTGTTTATCACACTTAGGTTAGCAAGAAACAGCTACAGAAGCTAGAATTCAAGGTTAATATGTTTAGAGACTTTCTTGAAACTATGGATTAGTTCTTGGATGGATTAGGTCTTTGCTTCCATTTTGGAAGATTTGGGAGCCTTTGTGCTGGGTTTTGAGGTCAGAATGGTGCCTCTAACATGGGCATCAGTTGAAGTCTGGCACCTGTTAGAAAACAATACCAAATGCTTTGCAAATTGTATATAATGTAGGAAAGCTTAGGTGAAGAAGACTGATAATGACAGATGTCTCTGATGTGTCTCAAGATGAACCAAGTACTTGTGCATTTTAACATGTAAAGCTCTTGTTTAAAGAACCCTTTGTAACATTCATATGGGAAAAGAGTGTTAGCTAATGGCTCTGATAGCTTTAATGCCTGAAAAATAAGGATGAATAAAGGGGCACTGAGGGTATAGCTCAGTGGTAAAGTACTTGCCTAGCATTAGTAAGACCCCAGGGTTCCATCTCTAATTCCCTAAAATAAAATAAGCTGACAAACATACATAGGATAAATGTTTATAAGCAAAGGCAAGAAAGAAAACTTCCAAGATGTGACATGTTCATTGCTGAATATAAGTTAAGTCCTCTAGCAAACTTCCAAAATGCAAAAATACAAGCTACCTGGATTGATGGTTGTGTCCTCGAATATTTAGAATTCTAGTTAGTGTGTGTAGTTCTGTATGCAAGGAATATAAAATAAGTTAATCCATGTATATTGAAAAGTTTTTCAGGAACCAAGGGGATGCTTCAGTAAAGTACTTGCTACAAGCACGAGAGAGAGTCTGATCCCTAGCACCCTTATATAAAAAATTGAACATGATAGCATTTGATATAATCACAGCACTAGGGTGGTGGAGACAAAAGGATCTGTATTGGCTGGGCAGCCTAACCTGAGCCTAGCCTCAGGTCCCAGTGAAAGACCGACTCTGTCTCAAAAAGATAGACTGCTCCTGAGGTATGACACTCAAGCTTACCTCAGGCCTCCACATACACATTCAGACACTTGCATGCACAAAAACATACACACACATACACACAAACCAATACATTTAGGAATTTTGTGTACTTGTGCTGTGGATGTAGCTCAGTAGTAATTTTAATGCACCTGTTTGGCATGTGTAAGAAGAATCTCCAATACTGAGAGAGACCAAAAAAAAAAATTGTTAAGTAGGCACAAAGCAATATGGAGAAATTATAGGTATGGTAATCTATTTAATTTTTTTATGCATATAGGTGCTTTGCATGCATGTATATTTGTATACCTTGTGTGTGCAATCCCCATGGAGGCCAGAAGAGGGTGTTGGATCCCCTGAGCCCATATTTACAAATTGTTGTGAGCTGGGAATTAAACCCAGGTCTTGTGGAAGAGCAGCCAGTGTTCTTAACCACTGAGACATTGCTCCGGCTCCATAAGAACCTATTTTTATGAGAAAGCTAAAAGGGAAAGAATATTTATGGATGACAAGGGGTTTTATGGGTTTGGAACAGTAGCCCACCAGTTAAAAGCACATACTGAGTTTGGCGCCCAGTACCCACACCCACCCTAGAGTTTATAACTCTAGGGAATCTGATGCCTTCTGGCCTCTGCAGGTATTATCTTCATGTACAAAACCACAGAATTTAAATACATATTTAAAATAAGGGCTGGAGAAATGGCTGGCTCCGTGAAGAGCATTTGTTGTGAGTATAGAGGACCTGGGTTCAGTTCCCAGTATTCACATGGTGGCTCACAGCCATCTGTGGTTCCAGTTCCAGGGCATGAGGGATCTGATACCTTCTGATCTCTGAAAGCAGTAGACATGCATATGATATATGTACACTCACATGCAGGCAAAACAATTTTATGTAAAAATAAATATAAAAAGTATCTTGTTTTAAAGTGTTAAGCATTGCAGATGGAAATTCTGTAGACCTCTGTAAGTTATCAACACATGGATTTTAGAGAGAAAATCACTGGCAAAGGGGAGAACAGTAGTTAACTTGGGGTGTGTGGGTGGAAAAACTGTGTCACTGAATAAATATGTCCAGTGGTGATGAACTTGTCACTGCAGTGTTGTGAAGGACAGCTAGAAGTCAAGAGGGTAATGATGGTCCCCATGGGGGTGGCAAAGATCTGGAGTTTAGATCCTTGGGGAAAGGGTGGGATTAAAAGCAGGTTTAGGGTAAAACCAAAGAGGCAGAGGTAGGCCTGCAGCCATTAGATGAGAGGTGGCCAGAGAAGCATAGATACTGAGCAGTTGATATAGTGGAATCAAAGAGGAACTTCACCATGAAGATTACCTAGAAAAGATCAAAAGTCCCTGAGACTTGGGGTCATGGTTAGGACTAAATGTATTGGTGGTGTTTGGGTAAAATAATAGTGAAATCAGATGCATAAAACTGAAAGGAAAAAGTGCCTAGAGGTGAGTAACAGCCAAGATTTTTTTTAATGTGCTCCTTTTGGAAGAAGAATGACAGCAGTTGAGAGTAGTGGACCCAGACAAAGAACTGAGGAAGCCGTGTCCTAAAGGGAGGAAATGCAGAAAGACAGTCGTCCACCACCCCCATATGCCTCCATGCTGGCCAATATACTTGGGCATCTCTGATTACTACTTTTAACCTGCCATCTCAGTTTAACAGATGACACCCCAATGGAAAGTACCCTCAAAGAAAGGAAGTTATCAGTAATACACAGGAGAGAAAATGGAGGCTGGCTCTCAGAAGGGGCTCAGATTTGTGTCTGTTGCTATGGGATCAAAGGAAGACACATTTGGCCACTATGCTCAGGAAGAGAAGGCAGCGAGTTCCAGCAGTCTGGCCTCACTGGTAGCATCTGAACTTGGAGAGAACAAAACAGGCCTTCCAAAGAGTGGCTTCAGCTAAAGAGCAACTGGCTAGCTGGCCATGGAGCAAGCAACAGCACAAGGAACTGGAACAGCATGGAAGGAGAGCTCTCACATGAGTGAGTAATGAGGAAAGAGAAAAGCTGAGGGTGAAGATGAGTACAAGGGCCAGGACGAAGTCAGTGTGTGATGGACATGGTCATGAAGGGGCTGGGGCTCAGCAGGACTGTCAGACACAGGTGTTTCCTAAGAGACACTTAGAAGAGTGAGAAAGACATCTGGAATGTAGCCAGGAGTCTTAAATGTGGAGTTCTATGAAGTGCTGAGTTACTGGCTCAAAAATAAGGGCTGTTTAGTGATGAAAATATGGCTGGGAGCTAGGGAATGCAGCTCAGTAGTAGAGCATTTGCCTAGTATGTGTGAGGCCCTATGTAGAGTGTCTGCTACACACAGGAAAGGAAATAGCTCTGAAAGTGATGTAGCCAATGAGGGCTGAGAGCTGTCTTGGTGGATAGAAGCTCTTGCCACTCACTAAGCCTGAAGACCTGATTTCAATCCCTGGAAGCCATATGGTGGGAGGAAATAAAACAAGTTCCAAAAACTTATCCTCTGATGCCCACAAACACTCTTATGGCACACAGGTCCATACACGTACACATTCTAAATAAAAAGCATCAGTGATTGAACTGCATAATTCACAGACAGCAGTTGGAATAACAGTGAGTGGGAGTGTGGATTAATTGTTTCACTATATGGAGGCAGGATGTGGAACTGATGGCAAGAAGCATTACATGGGAAAGACAAAGTTTGGAGAAAAGGTGTGAGAACACAGCTAAGCAGAACCTACTGGAACCGAAATGTCCTTTCATGGGCACGGGCAGTGTGTGCTTGCTTAGCATTTGCAAGGCCTAAGTTTGATCCTGAACAAAGAGGCCTAACACCCAACTGTTCCCACTCTGTCTAGGTATCCTTTCTCACTACTACCCTTTGATCTGAGCTGATGAATGTATAGCTGTTGTGAGGTCCCAACTTCTCTGAGGGTGTGTAGACAGGCAGGGAAAGTATTCCCAGCTTCACACTACTTCCCTTTCCAGAACATCAGGGAAACTGCTGTGCTGCGCCGGACAACTTCTTCTCCTCCAACTTTCACCTCCAACTTCTTCATCCAAATGAATGCTAGGAAATGGCTAAAGCCGCATGGTTGAGAAGCAGCCAGCTGAACCGGAAAAAACCTGGGGCATTGCATTTGACACCAAAACCTGTTTTTCTTCTATTGTGCCCTACCTGAGACAATGTGCTCACGCTGGTGCTCCACGCTGGTGCTGGCTGATGTAAAAGAGGCACCCGCCCCTGAGATCACATCTTCTAGCTACTAATGTTATCCAAAGTATAGATGGTGCCCCAAGCACTAAACATGTTTCTGGTCTTTCTAGACTTATCAGTTCTGATCCTGACAGGACCTGTGGCCTAGAGGCGGACACTCCCTCTCCATTGACCAAACAGACAATCTATAATTGCAGGATTACCAAACGGGTATGGCACAGTGCAGACCTGTAATCCCAGCACGCAAGAAGCCGAGGCAGGAAGATCTCCAGTTCAAGTCCTGCCCTGGGACTACACAGTAGGTTCTAAGACTAGCCTAGCCTCACCGGAGAGAGGAGAAAATGAAACAGCTGTTTCCAGCACAGACTTTCGTTCAGGGTTTGGCTTGAGCTGAGAGAGTACAAACAAATGTTCCTCCACTGCTTCTCTACTAGGATCCCTTGAGGATAGAACCCGCTGGCTCTGTCACCCTGTGGGAAGGATGTGATATTGTAGACGTGGGAGGAGCCGGCAGCGAGATGCTGACGAGTCCGATGGGTAAACTGGGTGCTCCCTGAGCAAAACCTGACGTTTGACACTGCGAAGATCCGAAAACTGGACTCCCCCCCCCCACCCCGCCGCGAGCTTCCGCGCATGCGCCTACCGCACTGGGCATAGAGTGGAAGATCAAGGGGCCTTTTCTGCGCAGCTGGAGCGTCAGAACGAGGGAGAACGGCGCGTGCGCCAGCTTTTGTGGGCGGAGCCTGGGAGCGGCAGGGGCGTGGCCTTCGTCGCGCGCAGCCCCGCCCCTCGGCCTCCGGGAGGCGGCAACCGCTTCTTGTCTTTTCCAGGTTGTCGGGGACTGCCTCGCCTTGGTTTTCGGTGACCATGGGGGACCCCAGCAAGCAGGACATCCTGGCCATCTTTAAGCGCCTGCGCTCGGTGCCCACTAACAAGGTAACAGTAGCAGGCGGGCTCGGGACACCGCGGCTCGCTGGACCCCGGTGTGGCCACGGCCGTGGGAGGAGCCGCCCGGCCTGTGACACGTCGCACTGTGGGCCTGGCAGCCACAGCTCCCCAACCTTCGCCAGAAAGGGGCGGAAGAGGGGGCGCACACCAGGGGATTGGCAACGGGATACGGGGTCCAGTGAGAGCCTGGCCAGAGGCCCTAGGGCGCAGGGAGGACTTGGGACTTGAGTATCTGGAGAATGTACAGAACCAAAGGGCAGAGCACCTGGGGGGCACAGAGAAGGCTGGGGCATGGACATCTGGAATGTCCAGCACCGGAGGTCAGATCGCCTGGGAGTAGCTGGAAATGTCTAAGACAGAAGATTAGTGCATCTAGGAGCACAGAGAGGACTGCTGTATGGGCCTCTAGGGGTGTCCAGGACCAGAGGTCAGTACCTGGGGGCTCAGAGAGAGCCGGTTCTTGGCATCTGGGGGCGCCTAGGTCTGGAGACCAGAGCACTTTGATCCAGAAGCACAGACAAGGTGAAGTGGAGGGAGCAGTGTGTCTGTCCGTTAGATAGTTGGACTCTGAGAAAGCTGGGGAGGCATACACTCTGGCTCCTGTGAGTTAAGGGTGAATACTACAGCCTCCTAGACCCATGGAGAAGAGTTCCTGAGGTCAGAACACTAAATGTGCTGGGCTCTAGGAAAGGACTTCTCCCCACCATGAACCTTGACTTGAGTATTCTTCAGGGCTGGGGACCTGTTGGATCCTGCTCCCCATTGTCCTTTGGTGACATCCCGTTTCCCAGTGCAGTAAAGCTAAGCTGCCAGCTTTTGGTGTTTCTGAGGAAGTCCCACCAAAGTTCACCTTCATCCCTCTGGAGATTGAGGTTCACCCCTCCAATTTTTTTTTCTCGTAAATGCCCTAACCCACCCCCCACTGTACCGTGTAACTTTTAGCATATGGCTGGCAGTGTTGTTTTGATACACAGGGTTAAGGTGACCACTTCCCTAGGATGACGGAGTAGGGAGTAGGGTGGAACCTGGAGAGTACAAAGGGCTGTCGTGTCACTGTGGACTCTCCCCACCCCTCTTGGAGTTCAATCTGGTTGCTACCTCCACCTCCAAGGAAACATCTGTTAATGAGCACAGCCACAAATCCTGAATTGATGGCATAGAAAGTTGCAGCGTTTTACAAAATTCAGACATTTTAGGTCTTGATGGTGGGAATCCTAATTTTTAAAGCCTTCTAGTGAAGGAAATAGTCAGTTGGGAGTGATAATGTCTGGTGGATGTAAGAAAGAGGAGACAGCTTCCAGGCACTGTCCAGTTTGTTGTTGCTTTACTACTTTCTTGAGTTTTTTTTTTTTTTTTTAAATTTAGATTGATCTGTGTATAGCAAAGGCTTGCTTGTTACCACACACAAGATTGGATCTGCAGCTGGCAGGGTGGAAAATGCATATGCTACCTCTTTCTCTCCTAATTACACCAATATTTAGTCTCTTTAAATTCATCAAGAAGACACAGCTAAATAAGAAAAATAAAAAGCAACAAAAGGGAAGATGCTCCTTTGAAATAGTGTTATGATACCAAAAGACACTTTTAATGAACCCACATAGAACAGTTTAGTTAGCTATGGTGGCACATATTGTAATCCCAGCTACTTGGGAATCGAAGCCAGAAAGATCAGGAGTCCAGGGGCAGCCTCAGCTACATAGCAAGTTCTGGCCTGCCTGGGCTACATGAGACTATCTCTCAAAAAAAGATGGCTATGAAGATTAGATTAGATGATCCAAGAAAAGACTGGTGTGACATTAGTCCACATGAATACAGTCATTGTTTCCATTTTATTCCAAAGAGCATACCTGTGGATATATTATGTTCTGTAATATGACGTGTGTGTGTGTGTATGTGTGTGTGTGTGTGTGTGTGTTGAGACAGGGTTTCTCTGTGTAATAGCCCTTGCTATCCTAGAACTCACTCTGTAGACCATGCTGGCCTCAAGCTCACAGAGATCCACCTGCCTCTGCCTCCTGAGTGCTGGGATTAAAGGTGTGCACAACTGCCGCCCGGCCTGTAATATGATTTCTTTTTTTTTTAATTTATTTATTTTTATTTCATATGCATTGGTCTTTTTGCCTGCATATATGTCTGTATAAGGGTGTTGGATCTATAACTAGAGTTAAAGACAGCTGTGAACTGTCCTGTGAGTGTTGTGGATTGAACCTGGGTCCTCTGGATGAATAGCCAGCACCCTTAACTGCTGAGCCATTTCCCCAGCCACTCAATATGATTTCTAAAGCAAGATGCCAAAGTAGCTTGGTCCTGTCTCATGGCATTTGGCTTTCCTTTATGGTCTTGGCTTGAAGCCATGATCTGAACAATGGTGAAAACGAGTTTTAATGACTAGAAGGTCTGAGCAAAAATAAGCCCCCTCCCTTTTAATATGGTACTGGGGTTTCAACCTAAGGCCTTGTGCATTCTAGACAAGTACTTTGCATATGAGCCCTCTCTCTCTCTTTCTCTCTCTCATTTTCAAGATAGGCTCTCTCTGTGTAGCTAGCTTTAAGCTCACTATTAGCCCCAGCCTGTCCTCGAATTTTGCAACCCCTAGCCACAGCCTTCTGACTGATGAAATTACAAGAGTATGTCATTATCCCTGGCATTTTTAAAAATGCTTAGGTTGAGTCAGGAAGATTGACAAATTCAAGGTTAGACCACATAGCAAGGTCCTTTCACAAATGAAAATTAAAAAAAAATAAGTATAATATCTAAGTTTGCAAGTAAACATTGCTTTAATAGGGCTGTAGGCTTGATATGGTGCTGTGTACTTTTAATTACAACACCTGGAGGGAGAGGCAGGAGGAGCTGGAGTTCAAAGTTACCTATAGCTACAGAACAAGTGTTGTCCAGACAGTTATAGGAAGCCTGTCTAAAAAAGGAGGAAGGCTCTTAAAAAAAAAAAAAAAAAAAAAAAAAAAAAAGGAGCCCTAAAATGCAGACTGCGCTCAGTTTTGTGGGCACCCTCTGTATCCCATTGCTGTGTAGAGCACTGATGACGTTTACACATGCCTTCAAGGAGCCTGCAGTAGTGGATGGTGAACAGGAAGTGGGGCTGGAGAGATGGACCAGCAGTGAAGAGCTGGTGCTGCTCTTGCAGAGAACCTGAGTTAGGTTCCCAGCACTCATGCCAGACGGCTCACAGCCACTCCAATTTCAAGGGCTTCACTGCCTCTGGCCTCTGAGGGTCACGGTACTCACAGCATACACACACATATTTAAAAATAAAATAAATCTTTTAAAAAGTATTTGGGGGACTGGAAAGATTGCTCAGTAGTTAAGAGCACTTAATGCTCTTACAGAGGTCCTGGGTTTGGTTCCCTGGCTCCCACATGATGGCTTACAACCATCCATAACTCCAGCTCCAACCATCCATAACTCCAGCTCCAGAGGATCCAGTGACCTCTCTGACCTCTGCCGACACCAGGCAGACATGTGGTGCACAGGCACACACACATGTATACACATACACATATGTACATACATATATACATATATATGCAAAACATAAAATAAATTAATGTTTAAAAGTAGATGAAGGACTTCATGTGTTGTGCTCTTTGATATGGGAGACATTGGTGAAATGCATAGGAGTAGGTACCAAGAACACAAACCACTTAGGGTCCTTGAATTTCTGACCTCTCTGCCTCCACTTCCCAGGCACGTTCCTTCTCTGGTGCCTGAATATCAGCTCCGATGTGCATTTCCTTATTCTCTCTAAAATGATGGTGAAGGCCAGCTGTTAATTTGTAAAATGCAGAAAATAGAGAGGTTATGCTCTTGTTTGAAAAGCATCAAGAATTTAAACATGGAATTGCACAACATTCAGCCTGCCACAAGCCCACTAAGGCAGCAGGTGATTTCCCAGGTGTCCCAGAAGTGGGGCAGCTGAGGCGATGAACCCCTTGTGCTGTCTTTTTATTTCCAAGCATAGTCAGCTGAAAGCTGTTTCCTTTTTCTCCTCCTTACAAACTGAGTTCTCATTAGAAAACCACAGCTCTACTTTTGTTTGGGATCACATATCAAAGCACAGCCCAGACCCCATTTCTTTTTTGTTTGTTTTTCCAGACAGGATTTCTCTATAGCTTTGGATCCTGCCCTGAAACTCGATCTGGATACTGGGTTGGTCTCGAACTCACAGTGATCAGCCTGCCTCTGCCTCCCAAGTGCTGGGATTAAAGGCATGTGCCACCACTGCCCAGCAAGACCCCATTTCTTCCTCCCATGTGGCCTACCTTTTGACCACTCATCATGCTCAGCTTTCTGCCCTGGACTGTGCACAATAACCCTCTGTTGCCACCTGTCTCCAGAGGGCCATGTCATGTCTTTGACCTGTATAGAAAACCTTGACTTCCATGCTCACCTAAAGCCATCCGATCACATAATGAGTTGTCTTGCTCACTAGATGGTGGGGGCCGGGGACAGCACAGGATGGGAAGTGCACAGTAAAGTCAGGTGAGTGAGCAGGGTCCAGGCCATTCTGTGTCCCCTCAGAGAGGCTCCTTCCAGAACTGTTGCCCCCACTCTGTTTCATGTCTGTGTCATCTCTCCCCACACAAGGAGCAAGAACCTCACAGGCTGGCATGTGGCCTGGCAGGGACCAGGTCTGGTGAATTTATGATTCCATCCACTCCTTTGAACCTTGGCTTCTGTCACAGTGTCTGACACGTAGCCCTGTGAGTCACTGTCTGCTCTCCATGCCTGCTGTCATTCCACACCCACTATCACTGGTCAGCCTGAATCCAGCATGGTGACAGTTATCAGCAGCTTGTAGTTTCTCTTGTTTCCCACAGAGGCCAGAAGCAGCTTTTTCCCTGAGGGTAGTTTTTACTTTATAAAGATAATTTCCTGTTTATGGAAAATTTGTAATTCTGACTTGAATTAACTATAGATATTAAATGCCATGGAAGACACTGTAATTATTTGTTAAATTGTGGTGGAGGTTACATGAGTACCATGCTATGCATTCCATGGCTTGCTTGTATAGGTCAGAGGACAACCTAAGGGATTAGTTTCTTTCCTTCCACCATGTAAAATCTGGGAATCGAACTTAGGTCGTCAAGCTTGGCAGCAAGCACCTTTACCCACTGAACCCTCTCGGTGGTCCAGCACTGTGTATCTTTAAGTAGCTCTGTGTACCTGTTATCAGATAAGGAGTGTTTTCTGTCATCATTGTTGAAGGGTCTGGTGGCAGTCTCTGGTGTTTGCTTGGTTAACAAACATTTGCTAAATGCTTCTGAGAAAAGACTACTTGATCAGAGTCCATGGGAGCTACATATCCAGAGCTATTCAGCCAGCCAGCACTAAACACCTGTGCTAACAGAGAAAGCAGGTGACAAGGAAGGCCCAACGCTGTAGGGACTCTCCGTGACCACAGAGTGGAGGACACATTCTGTCGTCGTGACCTGTGTGTCTAATAGTTCTCGAAGTGACCTGGATGGGGGATTGGGGTATGCTATGTTTCAGAGAGGAGCACTGGGGTAACCCCCAAACTTAGCATCTTCCATCCACAGACGTGTTTGCCCATGTGGATTCTGAGGTCAGGAACAGGGAGTGACTTGGCTGGCTGGAGTGTTGTGTCTGTGATGCTGCTCCTCTTTAACATCTGAACAGTCTCTGTCTGCTGGTGTGGCAGGCCTCCACTCTCCACAGCTCTTCAGCTAGGACATCACCCAGCTCCTTGCCACTTGAGCCTGTCCCCAGGGCTGTCTTGATTGTCCTTGACAAGCTGTATCTGGTTTCTCCCAGAGGTAGTGACCCAGTGGCAACAAGGCCAGAGTGTCTTGGCTCAACCGCAGAAGTGGTAGATGGCCCTCCTGCTCCATTCTACAAAGCACCTTGGTAAAGTGAGACAGAGATTGCACAAGGATATGAATATTAGGAGGTGGCGAATGATCGGGCATCTGGCTAGTGCACCCTCCTCAGACAGAGAATCACACCCAGAAGCCTGCTATGTGGAATACAGCCACGCCCAGGTGATGGTATGGGACAGAGTGTCCCTGCAGAGCCTCGTTCCTCACCAGCATGCATTTATGTGTGGAAGGTCCCTATTGAGAGTTCCAGGATAGGCAGTGTTTGAGATAAATCTATATTCTCTTACTATATTTAATCAATGTATTTATATCGCTACCATTTCATCATCATCATTATAAAAGAAATGTGAAAGTTTTGGAAACCTAGGTGACATCTTTTCTCTTCCTGTGTGTATGTCCATGTGATAATGTGGGCACGGGTGTGCTGGTGTATAAGCACATGTGTACACATGTGTATGGAGGCCAGAAAACAACTTCAGCTGTCATTCCCATTCCTCAGATGCCATCCACTTTGTTTCTTTTGAAGCAGGTTCTCTCACTGGCTTGCAACTTGGTAAATAGGTGATCTGTCGGTCTCTGCCTCCCTAGCAACATACAGCCCCAGCCAGCTGACCCCCACCACCCCACCCTCCCATGGGTTCTAGGGATGGACTGCAGGGCTTCATGCTTGCAAGGCCAGCACTATGGATGGAGAGTTTCCCTGGTTGTAAAATGTGCTTCCTTCATCATCTGTACTCCAGCCTCCAGGATGACTCACCTGCTGATGTCGACTAGTTACTAACCACATCTAATGTATTTTTCTTCCAGGTATGTTTTGACTGTGGTGCCAAAAATCCAAGCTGGGCAAGCATAACCTATGGGGTGTTTCTATGCATCGACTGCTCAGGGTCACACCGGTCACTTGGTGTGCACTTGAGTTTTATTCGGTAAGTAAACTGTCTTTCCCTGGCCAGCTAGAAAAATTGCACTGTTACATGGATGTATACAATGCTTGTCTCCCTGCTGAAACAAAATACCTGGCAGGAGTAATTTAAAGGACAGCGTGTTAGTCATTGTCTTTTGTCTTAGATTCTGGTTCCAGAATGTTTGGGATGTGCTATTGTGTCCTTGTCTCATTATTATTATTATTATTATTATTATTATTATTATTATTATTATAGACATGTTTCTCTAGCACTTGCTGTCCTGGAACTCATGCAGTAGACCAGGCTGGACTCAGAACTCAGAGATTTGGCCCCGAGTGCTGGGGTCAAAGGTGTGTGCCACCACTGCCCGGCTCCTGCTGCTATCTTTAATCTCTATGATTTGCCTATTTTAATAACTTCTGTTCTAGTTTCCAATCTGTTGCTGTGATAAAACACCATTTCCAAAAGTAACTTATAGAAGAAAGTTAATTTTGGCTCAGGGTTCCAGAGAGAGAAAGTCCATAAAGGTGAAAAAAAAAAAAAAATCATACCAGCAGGAAATGAGGTCAGCCTGACCATCAGGAAACAGAGAGAGGCCAAGAAATGGGGTGAGGTCATAAGAACTCAAAGCCCACCCTGAGTGTCTTTTTCCAGCAAGGCTCTACCTCCTAAAGGTTCCATAACCTCATAACCTCCCCAGCCAGCACCACCAGCTGGGACCAAGGGCTTTAACACAAGAGCCTGTGGAGGACACTGACTCAAACCTCACACCTCATGTGAATTGTATTAGGATGCTTGTTTGGCACTGGCTCAATTTGCTTGGCTCACTTTTTTCAAGGCTCATCCATTTTCATAGGCAGTTTTCCTTTCTTTGATGACGCTGGATAATACCCTAGTTATCCTAAACACTGTTTTGCTTATCTGTCCAGCCATGGATAGACACTTGAGTTGCTCCCACATAGTAGCTATTGAGTAAAGCTGCCTTGAGCACAGGTGTACCCCAGTCTCTTTGAGAACTGCTGTGTGTCCTTTTGGGCCAGTACCCGGAAGTGCTGTTGATGGCTCAGGTGGTGATTATTTCTCCTATTTTGAGGAATCCCTTCCTTTTGCAGAATGGCTATGCCTTCTTACATCCCCAGCAGCAGCAGCAGCAGCAAGCACTCTAGGGTTCCAGTTTCTGCTCATCTTCACCAGCACTTGTCACTTTACTTTTTTCTTCTCTTTCCCCTCCTCCCTCTTCTTCCTCCCTCTCTTAATCCTCTTCCTCCTCTCCTTTTCTTCCTCTCTTCCTCCTCCTTTTCCCGGTCCTCACTCTACTGCTCCTGCTCTTTTTTCTTTTCTGTGGTGCTGGAGACTAAACTAGGGCCTCATGCATACCCCACAGGTGTTCTGGGGTTGAGCTAGACCCTAGGCCAGCACTTCCTCCTTCTCTGTCTCTCTCCTCCCTCTCTCCTCCTTTTTTTTTTTTTTTTTTTTTTTTTTTTTTTTTAAATAACAGGTCTGATGTGAATTCCCCGTGATAAGCACATAGCATCTTCTCATGTTCCATGGGCCATCTATGTGTCTCCTTTGAAGACTTTCTGTTCATGCTCTTGCCTGGTTTGGATTGAGTTGTTTGTTGTATTGAGGTTTTTTTTTAATTAATTTTTATTAAAATTAAAAACAATTTTATTTTACATACCAATCCCAGTTCCCTCCCCCTCCTGTCCTCCCATCCCGCTCACCATCTCCCCATGTTGTGTTGAGTTTTCAGAGTTCTTTTTGCTTGCTGCATATTGATCCCCTGTAGCAGAAATGATTTAAAAATATTTCCTCCTGAAAGGATGAAAATACAGCCTAACTCTCTAATGACCACTAAAAGTTAGAAATTTTAAAAAGTCCATCGGCATATATTTAAAAATCACCCTAGCTGCATGCAAAGCTCAGGAAAAAGAAAACACATGAAATAGCTTGGTCATGGTGACCGGTTTCTGGAAATTATTATTATTATTCATAACCACCTAGTTTCTGGTGAATGTTGTTATCCACAACAACAGTCTGGGAATTGTTATGGGTCATCCTGTCCACAAAGAAAAGCAATAACTAAAAGAGATGGAACTCATGGCAAGAAGGGAAAACTAGAAAGAACAAGTGTCTCTGCCAATAGATACAGATAACTCCCTGACAGGAGAGTACATTCTCCCTGCCCCCATTATCTTAAGGACAAGGCCACTGAGCCCGCTGGTCCTAGAGAAAGAAAACCCCCTAACCTTGCAGGTGCGCTAAACAATCCTGCCTTGTAAAAACTGTGTACTCTATGAAATCTCTGTAACCTAGGAAACCTTATTAACTGTTCCCTTATTGAACTGTCCCATGACCTTGCTTTTAAGCCTAATGAAAATAACAGGCTAGCTTTGAAACTGGCCTTGTTAGCTTTGATGTAAATCCTATAAAAGCTGTCTCAATTCTGCCCTTGAGGTCCTCAGTCCTCTATCCCTGCGTGGCGTGTGACTGTGGACCCCAGTGCACTTGGAATAAAAACTCCTCATGTTATTTGCATCGAGACTGCTTCTCGTGAGTGATTTGGAGTGTCGCCTTTCCTGAGTGGGAGCGTGAAGGTCCACACTCCGCAGGTCTTTCACTCACATTTGATGGATGTCTCCGTACTATTTTTTGATATATGCGTTGGAAACTTTCCTGAAGTCCAGTTTGTAGGTGCCTTCCAGATCCTTCTCATAGAATCAGTACTGAACCCAGTGCATGTGGTCTTATCCTATTTTTCCTCCCAGAGTTTTATAGTTTCAAGCCTTACATTTACGTCACTGACCCTTTTGAGTTTTGGTTTTATTTCCTAGACAGGGTCTCACTATACCTGGCTGTTCCTGGAACTCTCTATGTAGACTAGGGTGACCTGAAACTCACAGAGATTCATCTGCCCCTGCCTCCTGAGTGCTGGGATTAAAGGCATGAGTTAATTTTTGTTTATGGAAGTAGCTAAGTGTATAATTTGGTGTGTGTGTACACATTTGTTGTTTGTCGGTGTATGAGCCCCCTTGGGACATAACCAAGGGCCTTGTATGTATACAGTGCCACACCAATGAATGCTAGGCAACTGTTCTACCACTGAGCATCTTTGCACTTTTGCTTTGAGCCAGGCTTTGTTTTGTTTCTTTGTTTTGTTTTTGTTTGGTTTTTCAAAACAGTGTTTCTCTGTATTGTTTTGGAATCTGTCCTGGAACTAGCTCTGTAGACCAGGCTGGCCTAGAACTCACAGAGATCCACCTGCCTCTGCCTCTCAAGTGCTGGGATTAAAGGCATGTGCCACCAACACCCGGCCTTGAGACAGGCTTTTATACTTTATCCAGGCTGGCCTTGAACTCACTTTAGTGCACTGCCCAGGTTAGCCTTGAACTTGAGCTCTTCCTTCCTCAGCCGCCTGAGGTATTAGGAATATATATGAGCTGATAGCACCACAACCCCTCCCCCAGCTTCCAGATTTACTTTTGAAAATGTTTTTCCCAGATTGGTCATTAACTTCATATATGTACCACACCCTATCCAGAGCAGAGGAAGGCCCTCCCTCTACTTGGGGCTGTTCTGTCCTTTTCTCCTTTCCAGATCCCATCCTTATCATCTGGCCTGTCCTCTTGTTCACTTCCAAGGCACATGCCCACAGACAGTTCCTAGGAAATCAGGGCGGAGGAGGACTGGCCTGGAGCCTGGAACTGGACAGCTAGATCTGTTGGGTCTATTCAGGTTCAACTGTGTGCCTTTTGAAAGTCAGATAAATGTAATTGTATGAGTCACATGCTAACAGTTGATTCAAAAAATAATGTCTAAAAAGCACAGAGCCAAAGGGCCACTTCCGAGGCTGTGGGCAGGAGAAAATCCAGGGCACATATTACCCAGGACAATCACTGCTGAGTTTAAGGCCAGCCCGGTCTACATAGGCTACATTAAAAAAGACCATGTCTCAAAAATCAAACAAACGGGCTAGAGAGATGGCTCAGAGGTTAAGAGCACTGGCTGTTCTTCCAGAGGTCCTGAGTTCAATCCCAGCAACCACATGGTGGCTCACAACCATCTGTAATGAGATCTGATACCCTCTTCTGGCCTCTGGCCTGTAGGCATACATGCAGGCTGAACCCTGTGTACATAATAAATACATAAATCTTTTAAAAAATCAAACAAGCAGACAAACAAACCATCTCTAGCCTTGCATATTGGCTCATGCAATTCATTCCAGCCCTGGGGAGACAGAGGGCATCACTTGATTCACAAGTTCAAGACCAGCCAAACAACTTCACACCCCAACTCAAAAGAAAAACTACAAATGCTCATTGGGAGAAAGTCTAAGCAGCATCCACTTATGTCAGTGAGGTGCATAAGCTCCAGCTTTGGGTCCCTCCTTCCTCTCCCCCTGCCAACCACCCACATGCACATGGATGGTTACTGGCACACACCAACAGCCAGAGCTCTCACATGTGATCACTGTGAACAGTGTGCTATGGTGAGTATTTTTAAACAAGTGGAGTTTATGTTTGTAGGTTGAATTTCAAGGTAGTGATTTTTTAAAAAGACTTTTTATTATTTTTTATTTATTATGTGTACAGTTATCTTCATGTATGCTTGCACATCAGAAGAGGTCACCAGATCTCATTATAGATGGTTGTGAGCCACCATGTGGTTGCTAGGAATTGAACTCAGGTTCTCTAGAAGAATAGTCAGTGCTCTTAACCTTTGAGCCATCTCTCCAGTGCCCCAAGGTAGTGATTTTTACAGAGTACAAGATCATTTCTAACCTGTGTTTGGTCAGCATTCTTTGAAGCAAGTTAGGAGTGTGTTTATAGACAACAGACATGGGCCCAGCATTCAGCAGTGGCTGGAATTGCCCTGGCCCTGCCCAGAACCCAGCGCCGTACTTTTCAAAGGGCTACTCATAGTCAGCTCATGACCAACTCAGACTCAGCTGGGAGCCTCTCAAGGAACTCCAGGAATGAGCCTTGACAGCATGGGAGAGAACACTTGGCCTTGAAGGAAGCACCCTCCCACATCGGAAACAAATGACCCACCACACACTCCTTGAGACTGTCTGCATCGTTCATGCAGTTTCTTCCCTTTATGTTTTTGTTAGCATTCATTACAACACACAATCCAAAATCTACTTAATCTACTCAGAAAATTGCTGTGTTCAGTAGCCATTAGTGAAGTGAGGGAGGCCACTGTCTCCACACCTCAGAGGCCACTTTCTCCTTACCCCAGTGGTTAACAAGAGCACTTTTTTTTTCTCAGCACTCAGCTTTCATAGGACTCTCTGAAGGCAGCAGCTCTTCCTATGGGAGTGGGTGCTGCCCAAAGCTCCTGCAGGGCCAAGCTCCGGCCTCCACCATCAGAACCTTTTATCATGGGAGTCTAGGGTTCCAAGGGAATTTCTATTAACTCAGTTAAATATCCCTGCTTAAAGGAGCTAAAGAGATGGCACTTACTGTTCTTCCAGAGGACCTGGGTTTGGTTCCCTAGCATCCATGCAGAGGCACATAATTGTGTATAACTTGAGGGGATCAGACTCCCTCTTCAGGCAGGCTAGGGGCCAGGCGTACCCATGATGCCCTGACACACGTGTAGGTAGAGCACCCACAGGCCCGCCCTTCGGTGTTTTTGAAATAGGCTCACATGGAACTTGGGCAAGCCTCCATCTTACAATTCTCTTGCTTCTGCCTGCCAGGTGTGAGAATTACAGGCACACCACTGTGCCTGGCTATACAGAATTCCCTAAATCCCAGTGCTCTAGGAAGCATGTTTGAAAGCTTAGTTAGCAGTTTGAAGCCACAGAAGGAAAGTTTTCACTTTATGGGATCTTCTTTCTTCCCAGATCCACGGAGCTGGATTCGAACTGGTCTTGGTTTCAGCTTCGATGCATGCAAGTTGGAGGGAACTCGAATGCTGTAAGTCCCTCAGGCTTGGTCTTTCCTCCTCTTTACTGAAGTTTAATCCCTATGTGTTTAGGAGGTTCTTGGGGATTTGGGGGAGGAGGACAAAAAGCAGGCCCAATGGCCAAAAGCATTTTTTGTTGAGTGTCTGTTGGGCCAGATGCTGGGTATCTGGTAATAAGCCAACTGCTCTGGTGGTAGGGTTAGAGCACAACTGAAGAAATAAATTAACAAGTAAGTGTAAGTGCTTTAAGGAAACTGAGCACAAGTGAGGATTTAGAAGAACTGACATTCTTAAAAACAAAAGGAGTGGCTGGAGAAATGGAAGAGCACTGGCTGCTCTTCCAGAGGTTCTGAGTTCAATTCCCAGAAACCATGACTCACAGCCATCTATAATAGGATTTGATGCCCTCTTCTGTTTTACAGGCATATATGCAAATACAACACTCATATACAGAAATAGAAAAAACTTTAAAAAGGAGGGGAGCCTCTGTGTTCCAGTGTGAATACACTGGAATGTGTATGTTTACCTTCATGGGAATGAATGAGGTCCCTCAAGTAAAAGACAAGAAACCTTTTCAAAGTGCTGGTGTGTGTGTGTGTGTGTGTGTGTGTGTGTGTGTGTGTGTGTGTAGGAGGGGGTGTCATTTCTCCAGTGATGTAGCCATGGGCTAATTGTGCATGCTCCAGTAGATAGCCCCCACCCATGCTGTGCAGGCACCCTGAGTTCAGTGGGTCACACAAAAAAGCAAGCCCTGCAGAAGGCATCAAAGAATGGGACTTGTTGGGAGTAAGCAGCAAGAAGGGGATGAGAAAGTAAAGGGGATAGAAAGTAAAAAATGACAAAAACACATTCTATACTTGTATGAAGTTGTCAAAGAAGAAAAAGTTCCAGCCCAAAAGATCTTTTGAGACACTGACACTCGCTTCATTTCCAAATGATGCTGACTGGTGACTGGAGTGCTTTCAGAGGTGCTCTTTAGCCTGGTGTAAGAAACTATATGTGATCACATGTGGTGGCCATGCTTGTGACCCTGGCACCCAGTGGGCAGCAGCAGAAGGAGCTCTGTGAGTTCGAGGCCAGCCTGGGTCTACATAAGGAAATTCAGGTCAGCCAGGACTATATAGTGAGACCCTGTAATGAAGAGTTGTCATTCATTTTTCAAGACGTGTTTATCCCACCTGTTTTTTCTTTTGAGACTATGCAGTGTAGACCAGACTGGCCTGAACTCATAGAGATCCATAGTGAGCCCCTGCCTTTCACCAAGGAAACACTCCTCATAGCCTTTAGGTTGACACAAGTGGGTGGTAGAGACATGAAGGCCAATTACTCACTCTCTTATGTAGTCTTATGTCTAGTTTGATCAAAATATTAACATTAGGACCTGAGATGGTTCACCCTGCTGTCCTACTTTCTGGAAGAAGACAACAGAGCCCCTAAGATGTCATATAATTCCCCCATGCACACATGCATCCCTCAACAATCCATCCGTCAATCAATAATAAATGTTAAAATAAAAATATTCAGGACTGTAGAGATGATTCAGTGGTTAAGAGAATTGGCTGTTTTTCCAGAGGACCCAAGTTCAATTACCAGCAACCACGTGGTGGCTCACAACTGTCTGTAACTCCAGTTCCAGAGCATCTGACACCCTCACATAGACATACATGCAGGCAAAACACCAGTGCCATAAAAATAAATAAATCGTCACTATATTTGAAGGGATTTTTAAAATTTTTTATTACATTTATATCTTTGTATGTGTGTGTGCACATGCTTGTGCATGACATGTCATGGTGCACATGCTTGTGCATGACACGTCATGGTGCACATGTGGAGGTCAAGGACAGGTTGCAGGAGTTGAATCTCTTTTCCTCTCTTATGGGTCTTGGGGATTGAACTCGGGTTCTCACTTTTGCAGCAAATGCCTTTTACATGCTGAGCCATCTTGTTGGCCCTTTTGTAAAGAAAATGTATTTTAGAACTTGCGTGATGTCTAATTATTTTCATTTTCCCTTGTACTTAAGTCCCTCATTTAGTAGCATTTCGATCATGAGGTTAGAGGTCTTTGATACTTCTGTTAATTTGCCTGCTTTCCTTTGTAGTCTTCCTTCTTCCACCAACATGGGTGTGCTACCAATGACACCAACGCCAAGTACAACAGCCGTGCGGCTCAGCTTTACAGGGAGAAAGTCAAGTCTCTGGCCACCCAGGCCACCCGGAAGCACGGCACTGATGTGAGTCCCTTTAGATGAAGTTCATCTAGTGAAAAGCGTTTTTTTTAATACCAAGCAGTGAATTTCTCTCTGAAATCTCCTGTGAGGAGCCAGGGTACAGTGAACCCTCACTATTAGAAGTATTCTGCTCTGTCAATTCACGTGTGACTTGGACCAGCAGGTCAATCTTCAGTGACAGGGTCCAAAGGGGGAGGGCCAGGTGAGAAGATAAAGAAGATAGGAAAGCTGGGCTCGGGAGGTCTTACACAAACCGATGGCTCATGCAAACACATTTATTAAGAAGTAAAGTCTGGCCGGGAGGTAGTGGTGCATGCCTTTGATCCTAGAACTTGGGAAGCAGACGCAGGCAGATCTCTGTGAGTTCAAGGCCAGCCTGGTCTACAGAGTAAGTTCGAGGACAACCAGGGCAACACAGAAAAACCTTGTCTCAAAAACAAACAAACAAAAACAAAAGAAAGGAAAAAAGGAAGGAAGGAAGAAATAAAGAAAGGAAAGTACAGCATCTTATATACAATTTGCAAGGGGAAAGTTCAACAGAGTCAGCAGAAAGCGGTCATACAATGGGACAAAGTCAGCAGGAAGCTAATCAAGCAATGGCGTACAAAGGGAACACGGTATCTCAAGTGTGTCACAGACAGAGCATACAGCAGCCTGAGAACTGAGAGACGACGCAGCCCTTTAGGGGCAAGAGTTGAATTCTTAGGTTAAAGTCACAGTTCCCCCAAGACCCTGGCCCCAGGCTGTTATGGCTCTGCCAGTAATTTGGGCCTTAGACAAGGAGCCATATTCCTTCTCCAGATCAGCCCAGCTCTCTACACACATGGGCACTGAAGATCACTGCTGGAGACTTTAGGTTCCTTTCAGCCTTGGGTCACACAGGTCATGTTTCCATTAACTAATCAATGCATAACTTTGCTTAATTTGTGTTTTTCCTGTTAAAGATCTCTCATTTTAATACTAGGTGTACTGGTTCCACATGGAGTCCCAGCACTTAGGAGGCAGAAGCAGGAGGAATCCATGTTCAAGCCCATCTCAGAAAACAAAAATATGCAAACAGGGTGGCTCACACTTAGGATCCTAGTACTCAGAAGGAAGAGGCAGATGGATTACTTTAATTTTGAGGCCTGTCTGATCTGCATAATTGAGTTCTAGGCCAGTCAGGGTCTTGGAAATGAAAATCAGCCAGTCATAAAAGGATAACTTCATTTAGTGGGCTTAAGTTCAGTGATAGAATGCTTGTTGCCTGGGCTTCAACTTCATGCTTCAAAAGAATTAACATTGGTGACATGTGAACATTGACCACACATACACAGGGGCTAATCAGGGCTTCTCTGGAAGACAGGAAGGCACATCACAGCCCCCAGGAGCCTTGGAGCCAGAGACAGCTGCTCAGCCCTTGGGGCTGTGTTTAACATGGAAACTAATAGTAGGATAAAAGGCATGGCAGTGAGAAAGGCATCCCCTGATGTAGCACAGGAAGGCCTCTCCTTTATGAGTCTGAGGGTTAAAGCACAGGGCAGTTTGGACAGTATGCCTGCTTCAACTTCTGCCAGGAACATGCTTTTCCCAAATCTCATCTTTGCTGTGTGTCTGGAGAGGGATTGAAAACACCAAGCATGTTGAGCTGAGGTCCCAAGCAGCCTTGGTGAGGATAGAAATCCTAGGTGTGGAATCCAGGCTGGGCCTGGTCACTGTGGTTTAGAACCTGCACTTATATCTAAAAGGGTTTCAGGAGCTAGGGTCCTTGACCCCCTGGGGGTGTGGAATGTTTTGGAGTGGCAGCTTTTTTTCCACAGTGTGTTCAGAGCCCTATTTGGACACTGTGGTGTTGTGGGTGAGGGGCTAGACAGTGTCCCTGCAAAGTCCAGAGGGGAGGGGAAAGCTAAGGTAAACTCCCTGCTAAGGGCTGCTTTGTTTTCCTTCTAGCTATGGCTTGACAGCTGTGCAGCTCCACCTGTGTCCCCTCCCCCAAAGGAGGAGGATTTTTTTGCTGCTCATGCCTCTCAGGAGGTAAGTTTGCTGTTTTGTTCTCAAGGTTTATTTTAGGTTATGTATATATGTGTGGGCCGTATGTGCATGTGGGTACAGTGCCCATGGAGTCCAGAAGACAGCAACAGACTCTTGGAGCTAGAGTTAAAGGTAAGTTGTGAGCTGCCCTAATGGGTTCTGGGGTTAAGAGCATTGCAAGCTCTTAACCACTGAGCAATCTCTCTGGCCATGCTTCACACAATTTTAGAATGTGCTTATTCTGAAAGTCATAACAAGCATGTGTTTGAGATGTTCCAGTAAGATACAGACTGCTTGACCAGTTTCCTGTGCTGTTCTCCATTCATAGCTTCTGACTCAGGGTCTAACCTGAGGCCCAGCAGCAGTACGACCTTCCACAGTTCTTAGCAGAGGGATACATGTCTAGGAAAGCAAAGGTCCTGTCCTGTGTCAGGGACAGTCTGGAAGTGGCATCCACACCACTGCTCCTGTCTTGCTGGCTGGAACTTGGTCACCTCTGTACCTAGCTACTTGCTCAGTTTTAAAATTAAGTTACGTGTTCATACCTGTCATGGTGATACATGCCCAAGATGGTCAGCTTATGAAGAGAGATTTATGGTGATGCAGGTTTGGAGATTACAGTCCAGTGTAACCTTTCTAGACCACTGATGTCCCACCAGCTGCTCCCCAAATAACACAGAGAAACTTAATAATTATAAATGCTTGGTCAATAACTTAGGCTTGTTTTTAGCTAGGTCTTATAACCATTTCTACTAATCCATGTGCTGCCCCAAGGCTTGTTTACCTCATCTACGTACTTTCTATTCTGCTTGCTCTGCATCTCATGGCATCTCCTGGCAACTCCTCAGACTCTGCCCTTCCTTCCAGCATTGACCTTGGCTGGCTCTCCTGCTCAATCTCTTCCTGCCCAGCTATAGGCCAGTCAGCTCTTTATTAACCAAAGAGAATAATACATATTTAAGTATACAAAGATTGTTCCACAGCAGTCCATGGTGGCTGTTCTTGTAGCTCCTAGACCAGTTCAACACTAGGACACTGGTGGGGAGCATACAGAGAAGCAAAATTGCTCACATCATGGCCAGAGGAACTGGGATCCCTTTTTCCCTCTCCAAAGGCCCTAAGGACTCCCTTTAGAACCTACTCACCACAGGCTGGAGAGTGAATAGTGATACCAAGCTTTTGGTGCGGGAAGCCATTTAAAAGCCAGAACAAGATGCAAGCACTATCCATTCATGCTCCTGCACTGCTAAGACTAAGATGGACTTCTACTACAAGTTAGAGGTCTGCTGTGGCTTACAGTGAGTTCCAGAACAGCCTGGGCCATAGTGTGAGACTCTGTCTTTAAAAACCAAAATTTAAAAAGCAAAAGCCCCTGAGTAAATAGCTCAGAAGACAAAGCATTTACTGTGCGTGAGGACTGGAGTTTGGATACAGGAACCATGTAAAGGTGGACAGGTATAGCAGCCTTCCTGAAATCCCCGTGCTCAGGAGAGAGAGAGATGGGATCCTTGAAGCAAGCTGCCTGTCTAGACTAGCTGAGTTAGCAAGCTCCATGCTCAGCAAGAAGCCTTGCCCCAGTAGATAAAGGGAGTGGGATCAATCTCCAACCTGTACCCATACACCTGTGAACATGTATGCACGCTGTACTACACACACACACACATACACACATGATAAACTTGATTTTTTCTTCTTTTTTGATATTATGATTTACATGGATATGTTGTCATTGACAGTATAATAAGTAGTTACCAGAACCTGGGGTGTGGGATACAGATGTGTAACCCAGCACTCAGGAGGCTGAGGCAGAGGACTGTGATTTGAGGCCAGCCTGGGTGGGGAATGTCACTATTGTTTAACACAGCACTAGATACAGAATAGACTATGAATATCCATGCCTCATAGCTGAGAGATGGCAGAAGTAAAAAGATGGGCTGGGAAGAGAGGGCCAGGAGCAGCGTGGTGTGGACTCTAAGATGAACTCAGGTGTATCTGTGTCATCTCTGCATTGTGTCTGCTCTTGTGCAGATGGAGACTCTGGATAGATGTGCACTTTGTAGTCCAGCCCCACCCCCACCCCACTCCCACCAAATGCCTAGACACAGTGACATCTTGGCTCAGCAAACACCCCCAGCATCTGACCTTGGTTTCTAAAGACTTATTTATGTGTGTGTGAGTGTCTGCATGTGTATGTGTGCAACATGTGCCTGCAGATGCTGAAGAGGATGTCACATGCCTTGGAGCTGGAGTTCTAGACAGTTGTAAGCAGCCCGATGAGGGTGCTGAGAACTGAACCCGAGTCCTCTACAGGAGCAGCCAGTGCTGTGGACCACTGAGCCATCTCTCCATCCCCTCAGATCCTACTTTCTAATTCCCATCTCCCAGCAGCAGAGTCAGGACCACCTGTAGAAAATGGCCACTGAGCCAAGAGTGCAGACCATCTTTAGAGCTAGAAAGTGAGGTGCAGAGGGGAGAACAGACAGGGCTTTGTTCAAAGGACTCATAGGAGCCTGAAAGACCCCCAGTGGTTAAAGCTTGGGCAGTCCAAACCACAAAATCAGTTTGCATTACCACCCAAAGAACCTGTCACCAGGAGTCAGTGTGATGTCAGTGAGGACCACATAGCTGAGGGAGGTCTTCCTCTAGGACCCTAAGCTGTGTGTAGAGTCTTCAGGACATGGAACTCAGCTGGACTTTCCTCAAGTGCAGGTCAGGCTGGGAGACACCTCCAAGACTGGAAAGGAAGGAACTGGCCCTATCACCTTACCAAGGGTCAGGGGACCATATCCAATGTTGAGTCATGTTGACACAGGCAAGGAGAGAGCCAGGCTGCTACAAAGCACTAGACAGCATCCTTCAAAAGCTTCAAGGCCATGAGAAATGATCATAGGCTGTAGAGGCTCCAGGGCCCATTGTTGGGCTTGCCATGCCTAGGGGTGCTGCATCCATGACCATGTCCTACTTTGACAGGTGTGCAGAGGGGGGAATGTTCTGTATAATCTGGATCACTTTTGCATAAATCTGAAATTATTCCAGCCGACTGTGGTGGCCCAACCTATTATCCCAGCCCTCAGGAAGCAAAGGTAGACAGAGCTCTGTGAATTGGAGGCCACCCAGGTCTACATAATGAGACCCTATCTCACAAAAACATTCAAAAATTTATACCCTGGAAGGGAAGAGGCTGGGAATGTAGCTCAGTTGGTAGAGTGTTTGCTAGAACATACACAAGGCCCTGGGTTCTATCCCCAGACCTCATAAACTAGGTGTTGCCTTGCATATCTGTAATCCCAGCAAAGGAGAAAAAATCAGAAGCTCAGGGTCATCTTCTGCCACAGTACCAAGTTCTAGGCCAGTCTGGGATTCATAAAACTCTATCTCCAAAAACAAAAAACAAAAAAAAAAAAAAAAAAAAAAAACCAAAACCCCCAAAAGACAGCAATCAAAGTGAGACATTTGAACATTGAGGCAGGGCTGAGGACAGAGGCCTTTGGGAATCTTGCCACTAGCACATGCTCAGAAGGGGCTCCTGCACTGCTACCCTGTGCTGGTTTACTGTAGTGACAGTCCTTGCTTTGCTGCTAATGACTTCTCTCACCCTGCTGCAGGTCAGTGGTATCCTGCAGGCATCAGCTCAGCCAGAACCAGCTCCCTTAACACCATGGACCGTGGAAACCACTCCAGAAAAAAATGAAGGTGGGGTTCATGAAGTCAACACAGAATGCCAAGATCAAACTGCTAAAGTTAAAATAGAAACCCTTTTTTTGTTAGCCCATGGACTCAAAAGACATTCTAGAAGGTTAACTAGAGAGTAGGATAATTGAACCGTTAGTTTCTGCTTTAGTACAGTATTAAGTGTGAACTTCTTGTTTGTTTGTTTGTTTTTCAAGACAGGGTTTCAGTTTCTAGCCCCGACTGTCCGGGAGCTCTCTGTGTAGACCAGGCTGGCTGCCATCACCTGGACATTTGGATTTCTTTTTTGTATCCTGTGGTTGAGATGCCTTAGAGAAAGACAGAGGTCCATCCTGGCATTCTCCCCCATTCCTTCTTTCTCTCCTGGGAATGCAGCTCCAGGTGCAGCCATTGACCACGCCCAACACAACTGCCTTCTGCACTTTGTCTCCCTTCTAGCACAGTACACCCTGTTCTGGAGATTGCTGTGTCCCTTGGGCTGCATGTGACATGTGTCCCAGTGAAGGGAAGCTGCATAGTACGTGTATCATGGATAATATAGGTGCCATACTGTAAACCACCAAAATGATGAGGTAGAATTCTGCGGCCAGGGTGGGGTACACGCCTGTAGTCTTGGCACTGAGAGGCAAAGTCAGAGTTCAGTGTCATCCTTGGTTACCTAGGGAGTTCAAGGCCAGCCCGAGCTATATGATACCCTGTCCAAAAATTTTACAAAGTAGAATTCTAAATAATAGCAGTTGAAAAGACAATTAACTTTCATTCTATAAAACCATTGTTTTAAACACGCACTTGCATTTTTTAAAGACAGGGTCCCACATAGCCTAGGTTGCCTCACACTTACTGTGTAGCTGAGGGTGACTTAGAACGTCTATTTGTCCTGCCTCCGCCTCCTGAGTGCTGGAGGACGCCAACATGCCCAGTTCTTACAGCAATTTTAAGTCAAATTACCTATGACAGGTTGTAGGGAGGGTGGTAATGGAGCTGGAGGTCTAATTGGAGAGGGGAATGACTGCCATGATTTACACCTTAGGATAACTACAGCTATTAACTGTCTCATAGTAAAGCATAGTAGAGAGGTTTTAAATGTGTCTAACACAGAGAGGTGGTAATGTTTTGTTTTTGGTTTTTTGTTTTTGTTTTGTTTTGTTTTTTGTTTGTTTGGTTGGTTTGGTTTGGTTTTTTGTTTGTTTGGAGCCTGTCCTGGAACTTGCTTGAACTCACAGAGATCTGCCACCTGAGTGTTGGAATTAAAGGTATAAGCCACCAATGCCCAGCTAATGTTTTATGTGATACATGACTGCAACACACTGTACACATTGTTGAAAAGTCATAGTGTGTGTGTGTCATAAATATGTCAACTGAAAAGAAAAAAATATATTTAAAAGAAATGGAGGGCCACATGGTGGCCCATACCTTTAATCCCAGCACTCTGGAGGCAGAGACAGCCAGATCTCTGTGAGTTCCAGGCTGGCCTGATTGACATAGTGAAACCATGTCTTTAAATGATAATGAAAGGGGTAGTTCAGTGGTAAGAGCACCATCTTGGCCATGTGCACTACCAAAAATTATAACGATGAAATAGATCATAGAGCTGAAACACAAAGTAAAGATTGGTGTTTTATGTTTTCAGGTGGACCAGAGCAAGGGCCAAGTGTGGAAGGTCTGAATGCTCCAGGGAAGGCTGCAGTAGGTAATGTGGCCTGGGGTCCACCTTTGGATTCTGCCTGTCTCAGTTCTTACAGTGATTCAACATTGTGATTGAACCCATTACTGTAGTGTATCAGGCAAAGCTACCTAGCCATCTAGCCGTCCTGCTGTGCACCTTGCAAAGGCTGCTCCACAAACGTACCCACTAGCAGGGCTCAGAGCCCTACCTTGCACCACCCTTCATCAGACACTCAGCATTTTCTCCTTGTTCTGAACTTCAAAGCAGTGTCTCTTTGATGTGTATTACATTTTTATGTATTGGAAAGTAGCCACACTGATGGAAAATAACTAAACCTTCTGGTCTACAAATCTAGTTCCAGGTAGCTAAGGTCTACACAGAGAAGCCCTGGCTCAAAAAAAAAAAAAAAAAAAAAAAAAAAAAAAGAAGGAAGGGAGAAAACTCAGAATCAGAAAGTGATATTAAAAAAAAAAAACAAAAAACCTCTATAAAGCATGTATTTTTGTGAAGTTTATCAAATGTTGATACTAAGACCTTAGTAGAAAGAGACAGCTACTTAATGACAAGATGCTCCTCGTGTCTCAGTGGCTGAATGATAAGATCTGTGTGTAAGTCAGTAGGAACTGACTCACTGACAGTGAGTCAGCCCTCAACTTTAGTTGAGGCATAGTGCTGGGCCCTTTCCTGTTTTTGATTTTTTTTATTTATATGTTTAATTTTATGTGTATGGGTATCTGTGTACTGCATGCATGCATGCAGAAGCCTACAGAAGTTAGAAAAAAGGTTAGATAGATATTCTGGAACTTGGTACAGATGGGTGTGAGCCTCCATGTAGGTTCTGGGATTCAGACCCAGGTCCTCTGCAAGAGCAGCCAATGCTCTTAACCACTGAGCCATCTCTGCAGCCTCCAGGTTCCTCAGTTGCCTACCATAAAAGCCCTAGGATTGATTACCAGCAGCACCAAGCAGTGGTAATGGTGATGATTGGTAGTGAGAATAATGATGATGATGGTGGTGATGGTAGTGAGAATGGTAATGGTGGTGGTGATGATGGTGGTGAGAATGATGATGATGGTAGTGATGGTGGTGATGATAGTAATGAGAATGATGGTGATGGTGGTGATGATGGTGGTGAGAATGATGATGGTGATGGTAGTGAGAATGATGATGATGGTAGTGGTGGTAGTGAGAATGATGATGGTGGTGAGAATGATGGTGATGATGGTGATGGTGAGAATGATGATGGTGACGATAGAGAGAATGGATGGTAGTGACGGTGGTGAGAATGATGATGGTGGTGAGAAGGATGATGGTGACGATAGTGAGAATGATGATGATGGTGGTGATGGTGGTGAGAATGATGGTGGTGACGATAGTGAGAATGATGATGATGATGGTGATGGTGGTGGTGATGGTGGTGATAATGATGGTGGTGGTGATGGTGGTGAGAATGATGATGATGGTGATGACTGTATGCATGAGGGTACAGTAAAGAAACTGCAAACATGACCGCTCATTTTTATTGTAAATAAGAGCAAGAGAACATCCAGAGGCATCTGGAAGAGTCCAAAACACAGAGAAAAATAAACAGACCATACATGGCCAGGACTATCTGTTAGAGAAGGGAGAACAGTATATAGGGAAAGAGCAAGAGGATAGCAAAGGATAGAGTTAGTATAATGAGGCTGGGGCTGGGGCTGGGGGTATACTAAAGGCAGCAGGAATCTGAGGTGGGATGGGGTGGGGGCTTTGAAATGTATAACAACTATGTGAGACTGCCAAAACCATTCACAGAATGTTGCTGGAGTCCAGGGCTGGACACAGCTTAGATCAAGTGGAGGGGGCAGTGTTTCCAGTGGCCACAGATGGCAAACAAGGCTCAAGGTAGCAACAGGCATCAGGAAGCCATCAGAGAAGGCATCAAAAGAAACCACAGGAACAAGCTGGAGATATGGCCGGGGTTCAGTTCCCAGTCTGTATCCCTAGTCTCAGGTTATCTGAGACTAGGCACCCAGATGGTACACAGGTATACAAACAGGCAAACACCACACATAAGATGGAAAAAAGGAACCATAGGAACAGGCTGGCTTCTCTGATGATAAAGGAGCTCTCAGCTGCCTCCTGGAGAGTGAGCAAATGAAAAGGCAAGGTGGTGGCCCTGGGGGAAACCCTCAGGGCAAAGGCACCTTGGTCAGTGTCAGCTTGAAATGTACAGGGTTCTGCAGCTGTAGTCAAACTAGGGCAATGGACCATCCCTATGAGGTGCTCGAGTCTCAGCACCTCTGAAAACAAAACAGACACGTTCAATCCATGAGCATCTGTGAAGACTTTTACGGATGCTGGATTTCTGTGTTGGGTATCGTGAGGTTGCATGTTCCCACCTGTGGGAGAGAAGGACTTTTGCATTCTCAAGTGTTTTGCAATGTAGCATAACTATATAGTCCTTGAGAGCCATGGGTTTTTAGGTCTGATAAGGAAATTTGACAAAAAGGTTCCTCCAACGATGGGGGAACAGGACAGTAAGTATTGAAGGCTTAACATCAAGCTGTATCACACAGAGAAAGGACCCTAAGCCCAGGCTTCATCTCACCCAATGACAGCCATGCTTTAGGGGTTTACACATGGGTCCCTTGACAGCAAGCACCTTTCCTCCCTGAGCCATCTCACAGAAGAGTGTTTTTAAATGCTTGTGCCCAACCCTGTTTCTCTAGTGTGTACTCAGCAGATGTTTGCTCTGGGCTGAGGTAGTGTATTTGTTGATGCAACTCTGCTGACCTGAGAATATGCTGAAACAAGACATCTTATTTAGAAGACACATTAGAATTTTTACTTATCTGACTCTTTATTTCTTTTCTTTTCTTTTTTTTTTTTTTTTTTTGGCAGAAATTTCATCTATTATAAAAAAGAAACCAAATCAAGCAAAAAAAGGAGTGAGTATTAAATTATGAAAAAATATAGGAGTTGGCTCTAAAACTAGATAGAGATCCATTTTCTCCTATGCCTTGTTTTTAACTGGAATATTCTCAATTGTACATGGTTCTGGCTTGATGTCTTTAATTCTAGCAACCTGGAGGCAGAGGCAGGCAGAGCTCTGTGAGTTCCAGGCCAGCCTGGTCTGTAGAGTGAGTTCCAGGCTAGCCAGCGCTGCACAGAAAAACCCCTTCATAAGAAAGAGAGACAGAGACAGAAACAGAGAAGAAAAAGACCTATATTGGGATCCTGTCTCACCCTAATCAGAGCAGTATTCTCACTTATTTTGAGCCATAATAATAGATGTGGCTTTTTGTGCATATTTAACCTTGTTTTCTGCCTGTGATCAAATGTACCTGATATGACTTGAGAGTTCTCTCCTGCTGTGACTCTGAGGGGCATCTGTGTCCTGTGAGGAGCAGAGGGTGGTTTTATAGAGTTCTCTATTGTGGTGATGCCCTGCAGGCAGGGGTTGGGGTGGGAGCACCCACTTCCCCACCCCTCCCCTTCACTCATTCCAGCTCCACCCCATGAGGTGGTCCTGGCTACTGCCTCGAATCCCATGAATCCCATGTGTGTCATTCAGACTGCCAACCTCACAGAGGGGACTAAGAAGGAAATGATTGTCACAGATAGGCCTGGCAGGTCAGGGACCTCAGAGTATACAGCTGCAGTTACAGGTTTTAACTGCCTGGAGAGAATGAAATCTTACTTGTTTTTCAGCTTGGAGCCAAAAAAGGGAGCTTGGGAGCCCAGAAACTGACAAATGCATCCTTCACTGAGATCGAAAAGCAAGCACAGGCGGTGGATAAAAGAAAGGAGCAGGAAGGTCTGGCCAAGGGTGCACCAAAGGAGGAGTCCATGTAAGCTCATTTGCTTCCTCTAACACTGTAGAGAGCAGAGAGGTCTATACTTTGACTTGGTGTGTTTTCCAAACACCTTGTATTTTTGGTGATTGTGCTATGCAGTGTGTAGTTTCAAGAAAGTTTGTGTCACACTGGCATGTGGATTGGAAAGGACAGGACTGGTGGCTCTAGGGAGCAACAGCGGTCCCTGAGGTAGGCGTGGGCAGGAAGAGCAGATGGAGCACAATGTAAGGGAGACACTACTTCTTATCAGGAAGGCAACTACAGCAGAAAAGACAGGTTAGAGTAGAGGTTCTCAGTCTGTGGGTCTCGAACCCTTTAGGGGTCAAATGACCCTTTCACAGGAGTTGACTAAGACCATCAGAAAACACAGCTGTTTAGATTATAATTCATAACTGTAGCAAAACTACAGTTATGATGTAGCAACAAAAAATAATTTTGTGGTTGGGGATCACCACAACATATGGAACCTTATTAAAGGGTTGCAGCATTAGGAAGGTTGAGAACTCTGGGATAGTGGCACAAGACTCACTTAGCATACATGAGGGTCTGTCCCTCTCCAGACTGTTGGGAATACTGGTAAGACACAAGCGATTGTAATGTTGGTAGCAATGGGAAAGTAATTGAGGCTAGAGCTGTATGTAGGTCACTTGTAGAGTGCTTGCTTGGGGTATACAAGAGCATTCACAGAACATGAACCCCAGAATAGAGTAGAAGGAACCTGAATGTGTCTCCTGTGAATAAAGGATGTGGTGTGTCCTCACGGTGTGATTTGATTGAGCTATGGAAAGAATGAATACATAGGTGTACATTTAAAGTTTATAAGAAAGAAGCCACATGTAAAACTACACAGTGTGTGATTCTCCCCATAGGAGAAGCCCAACCAGCATATCACAGAGTTAGAGGCAGAGGCTGGGGAGGGAGAGCAGGTGCTGCCAGTGCGGAGGGAAGGCAGCAATACCCTGGGGTTTTTGTCTGTTTTGTTTTGATGTATGTATTTGTGGGTGTATGCACATTCACAAAGTCACTGCATATATGGAGGTCAGAGGACAACAGGCAGGAGTAGGTTCTCTGATTCTTCCATGTGGGGCCTAGGGATGAACCCAGGGTGTCACGCCAGGCAGTCCCTTACCCACTGGCCAAGGAGCTTTGTGGACCGTCTTCTGTGGAGCCTTGTTTATGTGTAGACTGTGTTCTGAAGAGCCTTGTTTTTGTGTGGACTGTCTTCCATGGAGTCTCTTTTTTTTTTTTTTTTTTTTTTTTTTTTTAAATGTGGACCATCTTCTGTGCTACTTGTTTTTGTGTGATCTGTTTTCTATGGAGTCACGGTTTTGTGTGGACTGTCTTCCAGGAAGTGTTGTTTCTGTGTGAACTGTCTCCCCTTGAGTCTTGTTGTTGTGTGGACTGTCTTCCAGGGAGTCTTGTTTCTGTGTAGACTGTCTTCCAAAGAGTCTTGTTTCTGTGTGGACTGTCCCCTGCAGTGATTGTTTCTGTGTAGACCATCTTCTATGATGTCCTGGCTTTGTGTGGGCTGTCTTCTGTGGTATTCTGTTTCTGTCGTCTGTGGTGATTGTTTCTGTGTGGGCTGTCTCCTGTCATGTTTTAATTCTGTGTGGACTATCTTCTGTGGGGTCTCGTCTTCCTGTTTTTTATGTGCTCTAGCTGGAACTGTAGTCCACTGTATAATGAGCTAAATAAATGACCCTGTTTTGTAAGGTTCTTTCAAGATCCAGTTTAGATGACAATTATTGAATTCCTGACGTTAGTACCTGAAGCACAGTAGGGGTTCAATCAGTACAACTGACAGTAGGTGCTTGATCAGTCTGACTTGTTCCTGTTTGTGCTGATGTTGGTTTGCTGAATGAAACTCAGAGGCTAAGCCCAGATAGTTTGAGACTGTTAGTTCCCTATTGAGCTCTGAGAATACCAGGGCAGCACTGACTGGTGTAGACAGACTTTCTCTATGACAGGAATGGAGTGTCAAGACTTGAATTTCTCCTTTCATTGCTTTCTCACCAGGGCACAGGTGTTGGGAAGTGGCTCTGCCTGTGCTGTGAGATCTTGAAGTAAGCTCAAAATCCTGGTGAGACAAGAGCCGTGGGATGCACCCACACCCTCCTTTGTGTGGTCAGGAGGCTGCAGAAGCAGTTCACAGGGAGATTAGTGTAGGATGCTGGCCACACCCACCCTCCATATGTCTGTCCTCAGGGTTCACTGAACAAACATTAATGAGGGCTTGACTTGCAGCTTGTGGGTGTAGTAGTACTTTCTTGTCGGGCTGCCAGTCTGCAAATAATGACACAGAGACTCATTATTAATGATGAAAGCTGTTACCAACTAGCTCTTATAACTTAACCTACTTAACCTTAACCTTTTTTTTTTTTTTTTTTTTTTTGGTTTTTCAAGACAGGGTTTCTTTGTGGCTTTATAGGCTGTCCTGGAACTAGCTCTTGTAGACCAGGCTGGCCTTGAACTCAGAGATCCACCTGCCTCCACCTCCCAAATGCTGCGATTAAAGGCTTGTGCTACCACTGCCCGGATTAACCCATATTTTTAATCTATGTTCTGCTGAGTGGCTGGTTACCTTATCTCCATACTGCATGTCCTGCTTCCCCTGTGTCTCACTGGTGAATTTGTCTTCTCAGAGTTTCTCTCTGCCAGGAAGTCCTACCTATGCTCTCCTGCCTAGCTATTGGTTGATCAGCTTTTTGTCACACCAATTACAGCACCACATCTTCACACAGTATAGAAATATCCCACACCATGTGGGTAGAGCCTTTGCCAGGCATGCAGAAAGAAAGCTTCGGTGCAGAGGTGCATGGTAGGGAGGGAAAGAAAGATTTACTTAGGGACCCAGTTTGGCAACTTGGTTGCCTTTCTCTGGGACATTGTGTTTTCACCAGGGGAAGTGAGGGTTGTATCCTGGAAGCTGATGTTCCTATCGATTGTGAATGGTTACAGTTCAGGAATCAGTAGGGAGTGTCAGCATGTCCTGCACTGTAACACTGTGAAGCTAAGGGCCTTTGTGGTGCCTCATCCATGCAGGCTATGCCTCATCTGTTCAGGCTATGCTGTTGGCTTCTGAGCACCCTACAGCCCAGCCTTCGAGGAGAGGAGAGCACATGCTTGTGAACAAGGACAGTCCTTGTTTAGAGTCCTAAGGGAGTCCTCCTGTGGTCTTCCTAGTCCTTCTGTTTTCTCCAGAGAACCTGCTGCTGCAGTTTGATCAGGTAGTGACTTTTAAAGAAACCGGGCAGTGGTGGCACACGCCTTTAATCCCAGCTTTCAAGAGGCAGGGGCAAGTGGTTGAGGCCAGCCTGGTCTAAAGAGTAAGTTTCAGGGATACACCAAGAAACCCTGTCTTGAAAAACAAAAATAATAAATAAAGAAAGAAAAAAGAAAAAGAAGAAAAACCAAAATAAGAAAAACAAACAAACAAACCTACCTGATGTTTCACTTTTGGTTTACTAAGGAAGATAATAGTAAGAAAGTTAAAGAAAAAGACACCTGCCAGGTCAGAGCTGACCCAAGAAATCCCCGTGTCTTGTTATAAGAAGGAAAGAGCAAAAACAGGAGTAGAATGTCTCTGGTATATTTCCTGCCATATCTATGGCTCCGTGGTGAGGGCAGGCGTGTCACATCTCAATGCACTGAGTGTCCATTTTTGATGCAAACCCCCATTCCTGCTCCTGGGCACAGCTTTCTATATGAGCTTATGTACAACTTGTGCTTGTGGGTGGGTACCTGGGAGCATGGGGAATGTGCATACACTGTCCAGGCCCAATGACGTGTACACATTAGAAATAGAAATTGGGGTATAGCTGGGACTCATGGGGTGCCTCAGCAGATGACCTTAGTTCAATCTCAGGAACCCATGGTGGGAGGAGAGAGCTGACTCCATAAGTTGTCCTCTGACCTTCACACACATACATTCCATATACATGTCACCCATCCCACACACAACATATATACACCTGATAACAAAGTGGTTTTAAAGCTAGAGACAGTGGCTGGTAGGTAGTGGACTGCTCATTTAAAATGTTCTCAGTATCCCAATACATAAAGGACACCATAGGAAATTATTCAAAATACTAATGATTATTATCTTTGCAAAATCAATTTTAGATATATAATCATCTTTTTAAATTAACAAATTAATTGCATGTATGGTGTCTCTGCATGTGGGAGTTTGCATGTTTGTGCAGGTGCCTGCAGAGGTCAGAAGAGGGCATCAGATCGCCTGGAGTGGTCATATTCACCTCTTAAATGACACAGACATGTTTACTAACCTCATAGGCTGATATGTTCTGGGAAAGTGTAATCAGATGTCAGTCAGAGGGAGGCTCCTGTGTAGGAAGTAACTGAGGTACTCGCCACCATACTAGACAATGGGAAGAACGGCCAGGAAGTCCTGAGCTTGTATTTGAGAAAGACTTGATGGCATCACTCTGCCAAGAGTGCTAACTAGAGGACAGAGAGACCCCTGAAGCTGAAGGAGGAACTCCATGGCTCCGGTCTGCCTATGATTTTAACCTAGGATTGTAGTTTTAAAGCTGAACTAATTAGCCTCTGCTTTTCTCCAGCGTTTCCTCATTGCGATTGGCCTACAAGGATCTTGAAATTCACACGAAGAAAGATGAAAAAATGAACCTGAGTGGCCAGAAGAAGGTGGAAGCTGAAAGGCTGGGCATGGGCTTTGGAAGCTCCAGGAGGTGGGGTCCGCTTGGCCGGCTCAGCCCAGTGCAGTCTCCTCATGATGAAGGGGTCTAGAGGTTCATTTCAACCTCAGACCATTTCCTTGGTGCTCTTCCCTTCCTGGTTGTTTGGCTTTGCTTTGGTATTTAGTATACTGAGCTTCCTGAGTAGAGTATGCACAGAGCCCTGGGTTGGATCCCCAGCACCATTGAATCCAAGGTTTGGGGTTCACTCAAGGTCATTCTGAGCTAGAGGAGTCCCTGTCTATCTCAAAACAAACAACAAATACAAAATAATCAGGGTAAAGGTAAGTATAGTGGTGTGTGTCTCTAATCTTAGCATTCAGAAGCTCAATCCAGATCCAGAAAGATCTGGACTATATGAGACAGGTGTGTGTGTGTGTGTGTGTGTGTGTGTGTGTGTGTGTGTGTTTCTTGGAAAGAAGGAAATGGGTCTGAGTCTCCATGAAATTGCACTGGAGTGGATGCCTTGGGCACACCACATGGCTGTCTTCTTCCTAGTCTTGCCCTCAGAATGACAGCTAGCTTCCAAAGCTCTCATTGGGTTTCCCAGCCCTCTTGATCAGCTTGTGTTTGTTCAGAGTATGGCTTAAAGCATTCCTTTGTTTGGTCAGACAGAGCCTTTAGAAAGCCAGTGATGTAATATTTCCTGTTTTATTCTGTCCTCTCAAGTGGCATCTCCCATTCCGTGACTTCAGACATGCAGACCATTGAACAGGAGTCACCGACACTGGCAAAGCCAAGGAGGAAGTACCAGGAGGACCCAGAGGAGTCATACTTCACCTCCAGCTCCAGGTGGTCTGAGCCTGGCCAAGGCCATGGCTGCATTAGGGGTTGGCTTTAAGAGCCATTACAGATCAGTACCCATTACAGTTTGAAAGCTCTGGCTGGTGCGAGTCTATGAGTAGGACCAAAGGCTGGGGGACACAGTGTAAGGGGCAGGGTTTACAACTAGAAAAACATTTGTTGATACAGTCAGTCAGCAGCTAAGGCTTAAAGCCAGAGGCAAACGAGATGTTTCTGTACTGTGAGGAGTGGAGAGAGGCAGAGACTGTCTCCGAGGCAAGGGCCGAAGCATGTCCATACCTTCAGTGGCTTCTGTATTGGAACATTGGCTTCTGAAAACTGCTAGAAGAGTCCAGTATAAATTAGGATTTGTGTATGTATTTATTCATGAAAGCCATGACTGTTCTCTGAAATCTGGGGGCAAATGGTGTTTAGACGTAGAGCAGAGGAGCTTTGATGCCATGTGGATGGTGACCTAGAGTGGATAGGAACTGGGCTGACTTTGCATGCAGGGCCCCATAACATAGCACTGTCTACGGTCAGGGTCAGCCTTTATATGTGCCATGGAGCCTCCAGGAACCTCTCTCTCCTTGGTTCAGAAGGGTCAGCCCCAGAGGCCTCTGTGCCAGGGACCAATTTTGGGGCAAATGGTGTTTAGATGTAGAGCCCTGTAGATGGTGGCCTGCAGGTCATTTAGGGACAGAAACATCCTTCTAGTTCACTTGAGGACTACAGTGACAGAGCAGGATTGCATTAGGTGCTTTGGCACCAGAGGTGAGGTGAACATACTCTGAAAGCCAGCATGTCAGTGCCACAGAGTGCTTTTACTGCTTCCAAATTATTCATTAGCCATTAGAACTTGCATGTTATGAATTATGGAAGAGTGCCGTTTCTATTAAGCAAGGGGGACATATCCTTGCATGACATTTTAATAGTAAATTCCATTATTTCCAGACTATAAATGATGCATTATTATAATACTGCATTCAGAATAATGAAACTGAACTGTTTGCTGAGCCCCATGGAGTCCAAATGGCCTTTGGTGGGGATGTGACTGACGAGAAGACCGTGTGCTATTAAAGGCTTTCCCAGGGACCTGCAGGGATGTGTTCAGAGGGGAGGAAGGTGCAGTATGAGGGCCAACATGAAGGAAAAGCTCATGGAGAAATAGGAACCAGAAATCAAAGCCCACTCTGGATGAAGGTTAGTGATAGGGAGAGCTGCTGAGTCCTAGTGTGGGACTGATGGCTGCACAGGCTGGCTGGTATAGAGTGTTGCCTGTGAGTGACTGGGTATCCCCTATAGGGTGCCAGAGCATAGAGAAGCTCTTGTGAGTGAGTGGAGAGTTGGGAAGACCCCCATGTGTGGACTGCTCTGGGCACCTATGCAGGTGTCATCTTTTGCAATTTAAAAGCACCCTGATGCCCCTTCAGTCCAGATAAGGTTTTGACTCATATAGATGAAGAATGTTCATGTCTTGGAGTGGTGATCTCCAAAACACCGGGCTCCATTGTTGAGAAGGATCTAAGTGTCCCAGCCCCTCCCCATCTAGTGCTGACACTGTCCATACCATGCGCTTCTGAGGAGCCAACCAGCCTCTGGGCTCTACCTTAGAGCGTCACAGCTGTCCAAGGGGGCGGCAGCCTCAGCAGCCTAAGGGAAGGGCCCACCTCTTCCTGAAGCCCTCAGAGAGCCAGGTCAGCTGGAACACAGTTTCGGGGGAGACCTTGGAAACAGACACCTCATGTCAGCTAATGTCCATTGGCCACATCTAGTGTCATGGCTACCCTTCATCTCAGAAATGACTGAGCAGGGAAGTCAGGGTCCCAATCCCAGAAAGGCCCCAAAAGGAGAAAGCATCCATAAGACTCCCTGGTCACTGTTTCTCCTGTTCCAGCAGGTACTTTGATGACCCCATGGAGTTACGAGGTAGTTCCTTTTCTAGCTGGGATGACAGTGCCGATTCCTACTGGAAGGACAGCAGCAGAGACCCTGAGCCTGCCCTGAAAAGCACAGGCTCCTCAGACAGGTAGGAGCTGCAGGCTGAGGAGACAGGTGCATGTGTTCTAGGGCCAGTGGGTGATGTCTGTGTCACGAGTGTCCTGTGTTGCTTTAGGAAGCGGCTGTGCACTGGGGGCGCATGCCAGAAACAGCCTGTGGCTGTTAGAAAGCAGGTGTGAGCGCTGATTCCCTGGGGATCTCAGTCCATGGGTCAGGGTGACCTGGCTCATGAATGAGGCACCTTACCCCATTAGAAGACTATCTGCAGTTTGGTCTCTGGGGGGGGGGGTTGAGGTGGGGTGGTGAGTGCTGTCTGTGTGTAGATGTGTATACATGTGTGTGTATGTGGTTCTAGGGATATGTGGGCAGTGTGCACATGTATATGAGTGTGGGTGCTGTCTATGGGGTGGGAGTGTGGTGCCAAGGATTAAACCCAGTGCCTGAAGCACACTTGTAAGCACACTGCACTGAACCATGCATGTGCCCTTCTGAATTTAACGCTGTCTTATTTTGAGACTCTGTTTCACTGAGTTACTCACAACAGCCTCAAACCTGAGATTCTTCTGTCTCTTGCTTATGCCTGGCACAGTCCTCATCATTTTGACTAACACACAGTCAGGTAATGACCACTAAGAACAAGGCACAGGACGTCTTGGTGCTCCCAAGTCCCTTGCTGTGTCCTCAGTCCCCAGCCCCTGCTTTTCTTATTTTTTTTTTCAGTCTTCCTATGTGGGAAGGTACCATGTGGACTGGTCATCCAGTAACTGGCCTTGCCTCTGAACTCTGAACCCCACTGTCCCCTGACTTCAGCCATTCAGGCTGAGGTGGCCTCCTCTTCACAGTTCTGTTAACTCCTCTACAGTTAAAACAGGAGCCCATCATTTCATTTATTGTCCACACCAAGGAGCTTTACACGTGTCACGCACACCCACACACCCACAGTGTGGGCAGTGTTGTTTAACAAAGCTGAATGGGAGACTCCACGGAAGTGGAGTGTGAACTGACTTTGCTTTACCACCCGTGCTATGACCAACTCCAGATGTTTTTCACTATAGGTCAAGTGCTCGCCGGAAGCCAGACTATGAGCCCATTGGCAATACTGATGAAGCCCAAAAGAAGTTTGGCAATGTCAAGGCCATTTCCTCAGACATGTACTTTGGAAGACAAGCACAAGCAGATGTAAGGGCACAGAGAGCGACTCCAGGAACCCTGAGAATCAGGAAAGAAGCTTAGCTGTGGGATCATGAGAGGATGGGCTACTAAGGGAGAAGGGATCTGACCAGATACTCCCAGATAATAGCCCTGGAGCCAGGACAACAGCCCAGGGCTGTCTGAGCACCCTGGGTAGCTGTGGGGTCAGCGATCCAGTCTCATTGCTCTTTGCCTCTCTGGGGAGAGTGGCCCTCAGTCAGTAGCTTTTAAGTAAATTTAGGTTTTTATGTAGCATCATTTGCTTTTGATGAGTTTAACATAGTTAAATGAAGCCTGGAAATGTTTGTAGGTGGATGTTTCATTAGCCAGCTGTCCCCTGCCTCAGAAATGAACACATTCATCCAGGAGTCTGGCTAAGCTGGGGCTGAGACCACTTCCCTCTGGTGCAGAGGGGCTGGTGGGGATAGAACTCTGAGGAGTCATTCCCAGAGGTGCTGATTGGTCTCCTAGCAGAGGCCTCATTGCCAGAGGGAACCTCTAGCTCTTCAACTTGGCTTACCTTTAAATTTGTTAATGGGCTGGAATGCAGCTCTTGGAAGAGCGCTTGCCTGGCATACTCAGGTCCCTAGGTTCTATCCCCAGTACTACACACACACACACACACACACACACACACACACACGCACGCACGCACGCACGCACGCACGCACTCATGCACCATGCACATATGCATGGACACATACAGATGTGAAGGCCTTCAAGTGATGTGCCAAGCACTGAGGGATTTCCTGGAGTGGCTGAGAGTAGTACCTGAACTCTGGCTGCCCCTCATACTGACCACATTGGCAATGATGTGGGACACTGCCCTGCCCATCTGGGAGTGACCGATGTCATTTCAGAACACGCTCTTTCTTCCATCTGCAGGGCCTTACTGGGGTGACAGAGGAGGTGGAGAGCACAGGGGAGCAAACCCATCCCAGTCTCTCTTCAGCAGTTCTTGGAGTCTAACTTTGCCTTTTTCTGTCTAGTTTGAGACCCGGGCACGGCTGGAGAGGCTCTCTACCAGCTCATCCATAAGCTCTGCAGATCTTTTCGATGAGCAGAGGAAACAGGCAGCAGGTGAGAGGCTCATGGGGATCCCTGGCACATGCGTCTCCATAGGACTTTCCCTTCCCAAGATTCCATACCCCAGCACCCACACCCTTGCCCCTATGTGAGCAGCGAGGGTCTCAAGGCATGAAGTTTATGCCCCAGCACCCTTGTCACCTGGTAATTTAGTACCCAGAACATTGTTCATACAGGAGGCACGGGGCTCCTGGGAGATGCCAGCCACTCACTAGCTGGGGTCATGGCATGATTAGCTTCCATCTCCCATCTGTGGAGTAGCTGGCCCTGAGACACTGTGTAAGATACCAGCCAGGCAGGGCCCTCCACCCAGGAGTCCCCTCAGCGTCTCAGGACACACAGAGGCACTATGGAGTGAGTGACTCTGTAGGGAACACAGCTTAGAAAATGGGCAGGTGGAGAGGAAGTGCCAGTCTCTGCTGCGCCTCTAAACCTTGCATGAGGTGTCTGATCATCCCAGGGCTGGAGTCTAACCGTGTGAGGCCCAGAGCAGACTATGCTTTATATGCTTTATGCGTTTACCTGTGCACTCCCTGTCCCAGAAGGCCTGCACCAGGCCACAGGGAGAGCATGAAATGGCAGCAGCCTCTGAGGTCATTTCAGGAAAAGAAGCAAGAGGAAGAGGTCTCAAGAGCCAGTGCTGTAGGAAGAGAGCTCTACACCCTGGTGTACAGTGTTTTCTTCACAACCTGACTGGCTTTGGCCTACAGAAGGCCTGAGTGTTTGTGTGGGGTGACCATCCCGGCAGTCACACACAGAGAATGTCTCAACTGCCTGGAACCTAATGTGTGCAAGTTCAGGCATGTGTAGTCATTATGGCCCTCAGATACAATGGCCCTGCCAGCTTATTGGCTTTAAGTGGGGAAAGCCACTCTAGGCTGGCATGTGCTGGCACAGTGGCTGACAGGTAGGCAACTGTGTTCAAAGACAGGTGGGCCAGCCTTGCAAGTCTGCTGTCTGACAGGACTAGGCAGGGCCATGGCTCCCATGCCCATTCTTCCTGACTGCAGGTGCAGGGGCTATGATTATCCGGAAGGCTCTAGCCAGTAGTCTGCTACTTTTTCACATCCAACCTTCACATCCTGGCCTTTTGTGAGGCTGGCTTCCTGTTGTGATGTGACACACCCTTGGCACAAAGGCACTCAGCCTCCCCTGAGGTCTCCCAGCAATGCTCCTACCTGGCCAGTGCTGGCTCATCGAGTCAGAGCCCGTCTCAAGACCCAGGTTGTTGAAATATCCACATACTTTTTTAACATTTACTCTGAAGCATTGTTTGTTTAAAACACACATACACACACACACACGCACACACACACACATAGAGAGAGAGAGAGAGAAGAAAAGAGCTCTTTGAAGCAAACACACCCTTCTGTCCTTCACATTGTTACAGAGCTCTGACTGGCTCAAGCTTGCCTCCTGCCCCACAACAAAACAAAGTTTCACTGAACTGACACTGGGACTGGAACAACTCAGGGGGCCTTTGTGAAATGCCCAACAGTTGGGATGGTTGTGGCTGTCCATCTGAGACCCCACCACCACTCCCCCGGGACACCTGCAGCCACTGATGGACTCAGCAAAGAGCCCAGGCAGAGGCAGTGCTAGAAGCAATTCTGCTGCCTCATTCAGTGATATCACCCCCATGTGTCCGATCAGGTGATCTGGGTGGTCCCTGAGCCTTCTGTGAAATAGATCTTTGATGAAGTGTGACTAGACATTCTGTGAGTGGTACTCAGGCTGATTCCTGCTAGAGAAGGTTGAGGAGTGTGTGAGAAACATGTGTGAGTGCCAAAGCTACCCTGTCACAGTAGGGCCACTTCTATGAGCAGGGCCAGTGAATATGTGGAATGGGCCATCTGAGAAGGGATGGTGTGCTTAGGACCCCAGATGGCAGGGTAGAGGGAGGTGACAGCCATGTTAGAAAAAAGCTTAGTGCCCAGCTTATTCCTTGATGTTTTTTTAGCATATATGTGTGTGTGTGTGCATGCCTCTGTGTGTGCACGCACTGAGTGTGCAGGTGTGCACTCTCCACTGTATTCTATGAGGCAGGGTCTCTTAGTTGAACCCAGAGCTCACAGATTGGACTAGTCTAACCAGCAGCTTGCTCTGGGGAATTCCACCCTTCAAGTGCTGGAATTACAGATCCCCAGAACACACAGAAATGTTAGAGGTGAGGCACCTGATGACCTGACTGCAGTGAGACCCATCTTCTCTTCTCTGCCATTGGCATTTGGTAAAGTCCTTGTCACGGGTTTTTGAATGAATGATCGGATATATGGAGAATGAATGAACAAGAGCATGCCCCGATGCCCAGCATAGGAGCCCTCTCCAGTACTCCCAGTCCCCATGGCCAGTGCTGCCCATAATATGTCTAATTCCAGTTTGCTCCCTGAGAACCACTGTACAGAGTGCTGTGTCCACCTTGCTGTGGTGGCTGAAGGAACTGTGATGGGGCCAGTTCTTCCCACCAGGCCCTGCCCCATTGCATGGCCATCTCTCTGTGTGCAGGAAACTACAACCTCTCCAATGTGCTGCCCAATGCCCCAGACATGGCACAGTTTAAGCAAGGCGTGCGATCTGTTGCTGGAAAACTCTCTGTCTTTGCCAATGGAGTCATGACGTCCATTCAGGTGAGTAAGCTGTGCTGGAGCTCCCAGGGGACTGGTCTGTAGCTGTGCCCTGGAAGTTGTGCTGCAGACTAGCCCAGACATCATGAAAGCCTGCAGCTGCAAAGTCTATTGTAATATTGCCTATCATCTCAGCCACTGGGGCTGCCTGCCTAAGCTGAGACCCTGCCTCTGGACAGAATTTTCTAAGTTCTTACTGGGATTCATATAATTCCCCAGTTCTGAGTTTAGAATGGAGAATTCCTTTTGAAAAAAAAATATTTTATAGGTATAAATGTTTTTGCCTGCGTGTGTGTGTGTGTGTGTGTGTGTGTGTGTGTGTGTGTGTGTGTATGCACACCTGGGCCCACAGAAGGGCCGCATCCTCAGAATTGTAGTTACAGAAGGTTATGAGCTGCCATGTGGGTGCTAGGAATTGAACCCAGGCCTCCTGCAAGAGCGACAAATGCTATAAACTACAGAGTCATCTCCCAGCCCCATAGAAGAGAGAACTCTTAAGATGAAAACCATCCACCGTCTCCCTGTTCTGGGATTACCCTTACTTATAGTGTTGTGCTGTGTTTTGTTTTAGTTCTAAACTATGTAGTCCTGGCTGTCCTGGCATTGACTGTGTAGACTAGACTAGCCTGGAACTACTCAGAGATTCACCTGCCTCTGCCTCCCAAGACCTGGGATTAAAGATGTGAGCCACCACTGCCAGTGGCTGGGTATCTTTTTAAATGAAGGGGGAACTCTATAGCGGTGTGGCTGCCTGTTCTCCTTTTCTCAGTGGCATGTTCTGAGAGGCTCTCTGGAACTACAATTCTCCAGAGGCAGTTTTCTGTGGGGTAAAAGCATGCATATCTAATTTGCTTGTTCCACATGTTGAGCATTGCACTGTGCTTTGATCTCGTTTTGAATTTTATTTTTATTAGTGTATACTCTGATCCTGGGTTACCTTAGGGCATTTCCATAATGTATAGAATTGACTTGATGCATATTTCCTCCATACCTCTATCCTTTACTCCTGCCCCCTCAAGTTGGTCCTCTTAGTCCCCTAGACAGTTTTGCCTCTTTCTTACACTGTATACATATACATGCTTTTATGTATCTATAGAAATATTTGTCTTTCTGTGTTAGAACTTAGTTCATTTAATATTCAATGAGGCATTGTTATGACAATGAGGCCTTCTCAGAGTATGTGAACTGCTTGCTTCTGGAATCTTCTTGCTTATGTGAAGTCACTTTCGAAGCATCCTATTAGGGTGAAACATGGCCCTGAGGAGTAGACTGATTTGACATTGCCCCTTATGGATCCATGGAGGCTCTTAGTCTGCAGACAGACCCTGCTATGGCCTTGATGAAAATGTGAAGCCCTCCATGGAGAAAGCCTAAGGCTGCAGAGGCTTGGGGCTCTCCTTAATCGGGTCCTCCTGGCCCAAGTCCTCCTAGCAAGCAGTATCCCTGTTTTGTGGGTGACTGTCCTATTTTTAGAGTACTCCCACTCATATCCCATCTTCTAAGTGAAGGAGCAGAGGCAGAGACGAAACCTCTGTAAGATGTGCAGGGACTAAAACCTAGGTTTTGGACTTCAGACAATCCCTCAGTGCTTCCCATCACAGGTACTCCCTGGACAGCTCAGGACATGGCCCTGGCCCTGGCCCCTGCCTTTCGACCCTTGGGCAATCACATACGGTGTAATCCCAGGCAGGTTTCCAAACCCTACTCACCCTCCTGGCCATAGAGACGCTGAAGCAGTGCTGTCGACACTCAATCTGCTCTTCATGCAGAGACTGGCCAGTACTAAGAACGGGATGCCCGTCAACAGCAGCGGCATGTTGCAGTGTATTGGAATAAATGTTGGTCTGGTTCTCTCTAGGATCGCTATGGCTCTTAATCCTGGTGTCAGGCTGTGTCCAACCTGGTCAAACTCCACTTCAGATGGACCTGGGACCACATTTGGCTGCACCGAAGCCTCGGCTGCTGTGCAGGCAGGCAGGTTCTACTAGTTGGCAAGGCACCTGCACACTCCTGATTTTTTTGTATTTCCTCTGAGGCATCCCCATTTCTCTATAGTGGAGATTTGCTTTCGTTTCTGATTTAGGTTAGCTCCTTGTGTCAGTCAAGCATATCCTTGCTTTATCTTTGTGGAATCTTTGTTCCCAGAGCTGGGAACCTGAGCTGCTGGCTCCTCCCATCTCTCCCTGACCTGGGAGCCTTCACCTGGGGTTTAAGCAGCAGCAGCAGCATCTCCATGAACTGTGGGCTCAGGGCTGCCAGAGCTGGCTGGTGCTGGATGGGACAGAGAAATAAAGCCACAGCACACTGCAAAGCAGTGAACAACAAAAACAAGACCAGCAGTGCCCGGCCTCTCGCTGCAGACTGCTTCATGTGTGCCTCCACACAGCCAAGAGATTTCAGACAACACTTAAAGCCATCTGTCACTTTGTAAATTATTTTGTACATTCTCTACACTTAAAATTGTTCCCCAGTCAGTTCTTTTAACAAACCTGAGCTTCCACGATGCCAAGGGAGTTCATTGCAACTTGGGAACAGGTGTTGCAGGGCAAGCTGAGGCTCTCAAGTGCACCTGGAAATAAGTGCGCAAGCCCCAGCTGAGTGAGGCAGCCATGTGACATGGCTTCAGGACCCAACTCAGATTGGGGAAATGGCGACTGTAATTGGGTGGTTTTGTTAATATTTTTTATCTTGACCTTGATGTTCCAAAAGTTACAGGATAGATGTAAACCGATAAAGTCGTTTGGCTGTGTTTTAGACAGCACCAGAATATATTGTTCAGCACAGTAAAATATATTTGAAATTTGATGAACCAAAAATATGATTTCAGATGAATATTTTGTGAATCTTTCTTAAAAGATCCAATTTGTAGACTTCTAAATATAACAGACAGCACAGCAGACCCTGTTGCCTATGTTGTCATTTCACAAGAGCCTTTGTAATGACTCATTGTAAACTGGACATTGGGCGACTCTGGCACCCATCACACCCGTGTTATGAATGTGACTGGCAGACCTCAGGGTGGGTTTTCCCAGAGGGCTCCATTACTGGTGTGGGGAAGGAGAGCTGCTGGCGTGTTACCCCCTTTTCTCCGCAGCTGTCCACTTTCCGAACACCCGTGTGGACCATCAAACACTAACAGCCCACAGGAAGTTCAGTAGTGGGGACAGCTCTATCCAAACCCCAGCCCACAGGGAGCCCTGTGCTTATTCCCATTGCCTGTGAGCTCTGTGCCTGTTTTATCCCCAGGCAGCCGGGCCCCTGCCCAGCTTGCTCTTCTCATCTGCTCCCTGACCACAGGGCCTCTGGCCGGTATGTGAGGACACAGGGCTGAGTGCTCTGCTCTGTAGGACCAGCCACTTGCCTGATGGCCAGCTCTGCCCTCTAAAGTCCCTGAATGAGGCCTCTGTTTGGGGGGGAGGGGAAAGAGGGAGAGGAGGCTGGGAGGGTGTGACTGTGTGGTATGCCCCCTTCGGTTTCATTGCCAGTACCAAAAGCTAGCTGTTCATGATGGCTGAATGAAACACATTTGGATCTTTTTCTTTTTAAAGGGGGGGAGGGGCAGCTGGCAAGCAGCTCAAGGGTCAAGAGCACTGACCACTCTTCCAGAAGACTTGGGTTCAAGTCCTAGTACCCACATGGTGGCTACAGTTCCAAGGGATCCAACACCCTCTTCTGGCTTCTTCGGGCACTGCATGCACATGGACAGACATACATGTAGGCAAAACACCCAAAGACATAAAAAAAAAAAAAAATCTCGAAAAATAAAATGGGAATGTGGCCCAACAGCAGAGCATTTGCCAGTGATACACAAGGCCTAGAAAAGGCAGAAGCCGGTGCAGCCGGAACTGCACAAGTAAGCCTAGGGCTGTGGAGCCAGAAAAGCCAGGGAACAAACTCCTCTTGGAGCCTTTGTGCAGAGTGGGCTGGAGAGAAAGCTCAGCAACACCTCCTCCAGAAGAAATTCAGGGTTAAAGTGCAGCATTTTAAAGTAAACCATGGAGGACTAGGAGATGGCTCAGCTCAGCTGGTGAGAGCCCTTGCTACCCTTGGAGAACTGAGGAAGAGGAGGGGAGCTAGAGAGCAAGGAGAGCACTTGGGGGCAGCCACCCAACCATCCACAGAGTAAGACTAACTAAGATCACAGAGGAGAACAGGGAAAGCCCCGAAGCTAAAGGTAGATGGCTTAATTTAAGAAAGTCTAGCTAGAAACAAAGCCAAGCTAATACTGGGCATTCATAAGTAATAAGACTCCATGTGTGTGATTCATTTGGAAGCTGGGTGGTGGGCTCCCCAGAAAAGAAAATAAAGCATTTTACTACAGTTGGGGAAGGTTCTGGGATGAGGGGAACCAGAGGGAGTTAAATGGGTGAATAAAATTGAAATACATTCTATGCATGTATTAACCTTGTAATAAACAGGAAATATATTTTTAAAAATTACCTTCTTAGCTGCCAGCAGAACCTGCTGGAAAGTCCCCCTGCAGAGCCAGCAGTGACATGGTCCCCCTAAGGCTTTACAGGGAATCAGAGGGTCACTTCCTCATCAGTCCATCCAAGGACAAACAGCTGGAACCTGATCAGGCAGTTAGCTCTGGGGCCCTGTGCTAACTAGATTTTTGTCAACTTGTCACTAGCTGAGGTCATCTGGGAAGAGGGAACTTCATTTGAGAAAATGTGTAGGCAAGTCTGTGGGAGCCTTTTCTTGACTAATGATTGATGTGAGGGGACCCAGCCCATTGTAGGCTGAGCCAGTCATGGACAGGAAGTCCTGGGTTGTATAAGAAAGCTAATTAAGAGCTGGAGTGAAGGCTCAATGGTTAAGAGCACTGAGAGCTCTTCCAGAGGACCCAGGTTAGATTCCCAGCACCCACATGGTAGCTCACCACTGTCTGTAACTCCAGGATCCAATGTCCTTTTATGGCCTCCACAGGCACTGCACACGTGTGATACAGTCATGTAGGCAAAACAGCATAAAGTAATTACATAATTACATAAAGTAATGGTGATAACAAAGACTTAGAAAAGACAAGCTGAGTGTGTCACATGGATCAAGCCAGTAAACAGCATCTCTCCATGGCCTCTGCTTCAGTTCCTGCCCTGACTTCCCTTCATGGGGGACTTCAGGCTGTCAGCTGAAAGAAACCCTTCCTTTTCCAGGTTGCTTTTGGTCATGATGTTTATACAGCAATAAAAAGCAAACTAGGACACATCATCATTGGTTCTGGGAAGTGAGTCTCTAGCCAGGCCGGCCTTCCAGGGCAAGGTTGCCACAGCTGGGGAAGCTAGGTTCGTGGCTAAGCCAAGTTTTAGTTCTTGAATAGCATCCCACTGGACCTGGATTAAACTGAGCAAAGGCTTCCTGTGACTTTCCAGATGGTGACAGACCCCACTTGATCCCAAAGCAGAACAAACAAACTTACCCTGGGCATTGATGACACTACCATCTATGCTCCCCAAGAAGGCATTCTTTGAGACTGTAGGAAAAAAACAAAAGCAGGCTGTGGCCCCTGTGTATCCTCCAACAGGCAAATAAAATGTAAATATTAAATTCTAAAAATGAAATCAAAACAAATTGCACAATTTAAAAGCCTGGTTGTAGTACCCTGCATGCACCCCCACATGCACACACACACAGCTAATGTCGCTGATATTTCAAAATTCAAGTTTGGGAACTTTACAACCTTACCCACCCACCATCCCCCACCCCCACTCAGTCGTGTGTCACAGCGATTGGTCAGGAAGTTCTAAAACGATTTCCTCTGGAACTGTGGGCAGAAGTTATGCCTAGGAAGTGTGGCTTAGACTTGAAGGGAAGGGTCAAAGGGGACACGTTCGGCCCCTTTGTGATCCAGGCCTGCCTTGTGTGATTTGGAGCAGTGGAGCTCAGAGCCTGTGGCAAGGCCTCAGATACAGACAAAGCTACAGTGAGGCTTAGGACACAGCACTCAATGGGGACTAAGCCCAATGGCCCTCCAGAGAGACAGCAATTCGAGAGAGTTACTGTGATGTGTGACATCCCTGATAGAAGCTCCAAATGACTCTATAACAGGCTGACCCCTCAGATACCCTAGCCAGCTCAGGGAATATGACCAGTGTTTGAGACAGCTGGGGCTAGACCCAGGGTCCAATCTAGCCACAGAGCATCACCTGGAGATAATTGCTGAGTCTCCACGGGCCCTGGCTTTAGGAGACAAATACAGGGACAGATGGGCCCCCCAGAGGCTGAGAAAATCATGTGTGCCTATGCCACTCCTGATGAAGGGCAGTCACCCTAGGCAGCTTCACCCCATGGGGAAACAAGAGCCTTGGAGAAAGCCAGACACAGAATTAGGCAACCACACATGGGACTAAAGACAATGGGCAGGGCTGACCAGACTGTGCTAACCCCTTAGAAACAAAGGTTCCAGTCCTCAAATTTTCTTTGAGATCTAGTGCTGAGATCTAGTACCTCCAGCTACAACCTTCCCCAACCAGGCCGCCTATGACCTTCACTCTGCTGGCCACAACTGGACTGCAGATGAAAAGGTCCCCGAAGACGCTACACTGCAACTATACCTGACATCCCAACTTATACCAAGATTGGGTGTCCAGGGAGTTGAGTCCCAGGTACTTGCTGCAGGAATCAAGGGGTTCCTGTTGAGATGGAGAGAGCTCAGGTCCTGCCTGGCACTCATGTCATAGAAAGACAACAGACGGGAGCTCAAAGAGGATGCAGTAAGGTGGCCTCCGGAGAACCAGCACATCGGCCAACATGTTTTATGCCACCAAATACGGAGATGGAATCAGTAAGAGGTTGCCATGGCCTCCTCCCAGGCCCCATGGTACAGCCACGCTGTAACCCTAAAGCCCAGAAGAGACATCCATAGGAGCTTCCTCCTTGGGGGTAGGGGATGTGGAGGGGAGGCCCCCAGTGCCCATCTTCATGTTGTCTCTTGAACATCACACTTCTTGTCCTCTGGTTGGCTTTCAATTGCTATGATTAAACATGGGGACCAAAAGCAACTTGGGAAGAAAGGGTTTATTTGGCTTACATGCCCTGATCCCAGTCCATCACTGAGGGAAGTCAAGGCAGGAACTCCAACAGGGCTGGAGGCAGGAGCTCAAACAGAGAGGACGCTGCTAACTGGTTTGCTACTCATGGCTTGCTCAGTCTGCTTTTTTTTTTTTTTTTTTTTTTTTTTTTTTTTTCCGTGTCTGGGTTCTCTGCGTTGCCCTAGCTGTCCTGGAACTCACTCAGTAGACCAGGCTGACCTCAAACTCCCAGAGATCTGCCTGCCTCTGCCTGTGTGTGCTGGGATTAAAGGTGTGCACCACCACCTGCTTCAGCCTGCTTTCTTATACAACACAGGACCACTGCCCACAGTGGGTTGGGCACTCTCACATCAATCATTAATCCAAAAAATAATCATATAGACTTCCCTACAGGCCAACAACCTCAGTATAAGATAGACAGCAACAAGTCACATTTTTAGTTGGGATTAGGCTCCACTGTCCATTGCCCAATCTGGCTTTCAATTTGAAATCCTCCTGCCTCAGTGTCCTGGGCAGCTGGGGTTACAGGTGCTGGTCCCACACTTGTGTCTCTTCACTTTTGCTTTGAATCATAGTGTTGTGTATCCCAGGCTTCCTCCAAGTTTCATGTGTAGCTGAGGATGACTTTGAACTCCTGATCTTCCTACTACCATATTTGGTTTAAGCCATGCTAGATAGAGATCAGACCCAAGGCCTCCTGCACACTAAACATTCTACCAGTCTAGCCACATCTCTCACCCTGACCAAGGTCCAGAAGGAACAACCATCTCAGTTGACGCATTTTCATATAGCCAGTATTCACATGTCACGTTTGCATGCCCCTTGTTATTTTGGTATTGTATTATGTCCCCAAGCCTGGTTTGAGGAT